TCAGCAGGCAAAGTGACAATATCATCTCGTAAAACCACAACTTGTCGTATTTGTATATTATTATGCTAAGCTAAGATAACATCTGGCTCTAGCTTCGTGTTTTAATGAACGTGACCCCCCCCCACCCTTCCTCTCTCCCGATTGAGAGAATTATTCACACTCACAACCCTAAGGGTTTATTTTGTCGCCAAATTGATGTAATCTGCATGAGTTTGGACTGTGGGAGAAAACTGGAGCACCCAGAGTTCAGAGCCCTGGGCTTAAAATAACCTATTAAAGAAACTTCATTTGGAAACGCTGCCTTTGTATCAGTCATTCAAACATCACATTAAAAATGCTTCATGGTGAATGTAATGGTTTTAAATAGACAAGGATATCATTTCGGGTCTCTCGAAAAAGAGATAATCTATCTCAAGAGACGCTGCGGTTAAATAAAAAATAAACACAGCAGTCTAGCAGTATGACCCATGAAGTCACCCACTGTATACTGCAGGTATAGGTACTGTAGATGTGGGTATGGAAATGTCCCAGTACCTTATCCAATGACCACGCACTCACAATGACACACGCGCGCGCACACACACACACACACACACACACACACACACACACACACACACACACACACTGTCATTTGTACACTTTTAAGCACACACCCTTGCAGTCATGTTGTCACACATCAGTGACAGAATTGTTTGCCGGGAGCTGCAGTCCTGAAGAAATGCTTAGTTTGGCAAAGGCTGTTAAACCCTTTGCCATCCTAAACTAACATGTCAGCGTGGCCCGGCATGTTTCTAACTTTTAAAATCACACAAGTAATGTTGATGTGATAGAGTCTTTCTAATGAAAAACCCCTTTGTCTCTTTCCTTTCTGTTTTCTCTGTCAGGAAAACAACATGAGGAAACCACCGCTGACCAACGAGGACTTGGTTTCTCATGAAGTATAATTATTTATTATTATTTCATAAGGTTTTTCTTTTGCTCCATTAACCGCCCTGCTTCACCCGGGCTGATGTGGCTGAATATTCAACCGTTCCAAGACGTTTCCTGAGACAATTTCTCTGTGTAACTGGTGGGCAAACAGGAAGAGGACATTATGGAGAGAGTCAGAGCACATGCGAACAGATGAGTCACATATGAGTGATAGATGATGTAACAATGTAATGATGTCTTCTAGCAGACCATGGAGCTAATTGGACCGACAGAAAGGGGGAAAGTGTTTGTCACAAGCTTTTGACTCTCATACTTTCACTTTGCCAATGAAAAAATATGTAACAATCTCAGGCAGCAGAGGGGCAATGATCTAATTCAGATTAAATGACATCATCCTGATAAGTAACCAGCCTCCTCACTGGGAGATGGAACATAATGGACTCTTATCCTTGTGGCTGGAGTGTGTGAGGTTACATATTTCTGTGTATGTGTGTGTGGAAAAGTGAGTTTTGATGCTACATGCAGTGATGTTGCGGCGTGGACTGCTAGCCTGGGTCTCCCGTATTGGAGGCGTGCTGGTGCTCCTCTGCTGCTCCCTGTCGCTCCTCTATGTGATGACCTGCAGTCCGCCGCACTCTGACGACCCTCCACTGAGTCATGCTCTACCCCGTGCTGGACCCAACCACCCAAGCTTGGGGGGCACAGGGCCGGGGATTGGAGCAGGAGCAGGAGGGACAGGAGGAGCCCGGGCTGGGGCTGCTCAAAGTGGCGGACCCGCCGGTGTTCAATCTTATCAAGTGCTCCTCCAAGAGCGAGAGGAGCAGCACCGCCTCCACATCTCCTCCTTGAAGAAGCAGATAGCTCAGCTCAAGGAGGCTTTGCAGGAGCGTAGCCAGCAGCTGAAAGGAGTGCAGGAGAGCCTGAAGAGAGCTGCTGGGGGCCCAGCAGAGGGACAGGAAGCTGGGGCTGGATCACAGGGAGGGGTTCTTGGTGAGGCTCAGGGACCCAAAAGCCAGCAAGCAGACCTCCAAGAGTTCCTGCGGAGCCAGCTGTCCAAGGCCGAGGTGACCGCCGGCACCAGGCTGCCCAGCGAGTATGCAGTGGTGCCCTTTGAGAGTTTCACCCTGCAGAGGGTGTACCAGCTGGAGATGGGGCTGACGCGTCACCCTGAGGAGAAGCCTGTGAGGAAGGACAAGAGGGAGGAGCTGGGGGAGGTGCTGGAGACGGCCCTGCACAGCCTCAACACACCATCATCACAGCAAGACAGCAGGAGTGCAGCAGAAAAGACTCAAACAAACAAAGTGTACGCACCGTCTGACTTCATAGAAGGTGAGAATACATCAAATGTCAACCCTTTCTGCTAGAAATTAAATTTAAATGTGTTGAAGGAAATGCAATGCAGTCTGAGGAAATGTGACTAATGATAATAATACATTTTAATTTTAATAAAAAAATTTCCACCAAAATATTTGATGTTGCAATGCAGTAACCATCACAATATGCTATAATCAGAGTACATGTTTGGAAAATATGAGTAAAGTGTATTAATGACAACCTCACTCTCTGTAAATAACAACTAATAGAACTATATAAACGTAATTTCATGAAGATACAGTTGCATATTGACAGTTTTCTTTATCAGAACCCTATTCTCCAATTACTTCTTCAACCCTGGGTCACTTTGATCTTTTGGTTTTTTATATAAATCCCTGGAAGGTCAGAAACATGCGTGTGTCTTTGTGTACAAGTCCAGTCAGGATATCCTTCTAGTTTGTTCTGCTGAGCCTTGAACACAACCATAGGAAATGAACACAGCTGCTCCTTATTTGCAGTGGAGCATCTTTTCAAACATTTGTGTGTGTGTGTGTGTGTGTGTGTGTATCTGCTGTGTTCTGCTCTTTGAAGGTCACCACCTTCAGTGTCTGAGTGGGTGGAGGTTTTAAAGTGAGTAATAGGGGCACCTGGCTCGGAGGAAATGAGCCATAGGTCACTATATTGAGCCTTTTACACGTGTATGGGCTTGTGTGTGGTCCTATGTAATCTATGTGTGTCTCTGTGCGACTGTGATTTTAATAGATGCGCGTACATTTGTGTGTATCTGTGTGTTCGCAAACAGCCTCTACAATTCCTCAACAAGACAACGTAGAGTGCAGCTTTTTAATGAAATCGCGACTCCCTCCCACTCATATTTTATTCTTAATGCTCCTTAATGGACATCGATCTCTAAGCAAATCTTGAACAAGCAGGGATTTATCCAACCAGCCAGACAAGTGAAAGGCAGTTTAGATTGCCAGACTGACAAAAGCATCTTCAGGGAGCTTTCAGGACTGCATTAGCAAGCTAGTGAGCTGAAACTGCACACAAACAGTGGAGGTATGCAAAATGAACTTGCCAACCACTGAGTTCTGTCTTTAGAAAGGGACAGAAAATGCAGTTAGACAGACAGACAGAGACAGGAAGTGAAGGCATTTAGTCTAAATTGTTCAGCATATTTACTTAATGAAAGCTGATCGTGTCCCTCTGGGAAATCACAGGAAGCTGGCCAACTTAACAGGAAGAGCTTAATTTCAAGCCGCTATCAGAATAAATCTTTGCCCGCAGACATCTTTCTGTCCTCCTTTTCCTCTATCATTTTCTGCCTTGCTCTTCACTTTGTCCTTTATTCCCCTCTTGTCTCTCTCTGCTCTTTTTCTGTCATCCAAGCTGTCTTTGAAGACGGTGTCTCCAATGATGTGTTTTCTTCCTCTTTCTCCTTTGTTTTCTCTCTGATCTCACTGCTCCTCACTTTCTGTTCCATTTCCCTTTTCTTTCTGCACTCACCAACCCCAGTAGGTCCATTTGCAAGTAATAATCCTTGTAATAGCGTAGTAATTGAAAAACAACTTCTCCCTGGAGGTATAAACTGACGTAAGACCTCCAGCAAGAAAATTGGCCTGAATGACCAGTGTACGCGTGTTGCTGGTTTGTTATATGTGTATGTACTGTCAAAGTCTCTGGTACTGTATATTCGTGGCTCTTTGCCCAGGAGTAGCTGAGTGCATGGACAAGGTCTCCTGTGGCCTCATATGCCATCTCTCTTTCCCCACATAAACAGTATCTGTTCACACAGTATCTCAGTGTCCAATTAGCTAATGTTAGCATGCTAACACACTAAACTAAGATGGTGAGCATGATAAATATTACGCCTGCTTAGCATCAGCATGTTAGCATTGTCATTGTGCGCATTTTAGCTTAAAGCACTGTTGTGCCTGAGTACCGTCTCACACAGCCGCTTCTAGCGTGGCTGTAGATTCCTGTTTTACCTTCGGACCATGGGTGAATAATAACACCTGGAGAGGGCAGCGCCGCTCAGCCTTCCTTCCAATTTTGCCCAGTGGCCACACATGGTATTGCAGTGGCCCTAAAAGCATTTCCTAGTTAGGCAACCATTATAAAGGAGATGTCTGTAAAATCATTGACAGGACACCTCAAACTGCACATAAGGTCAATTTTGACTCTTTTCATCATGAATTTTGTGAAATATGTGACATCATCACAATGTAAAGTCTACTGGCCGGGCTGGGAAGTCACAGGCGGGGGAAACACTACTGTGCATATTCATTGGGCCACATACCACTGAAGAAAACCAAGAAGCTAGAAACATTTTGCCATATGCGCTCAATTTGGTCAAGTAGTTCTATCGGTTGGTCCACAGTACACACCTACTTCATGACACACCCTCAAATTTTGATTAGGTTTGACTCCTGTAGGTTTAGGCAACTAAATGACTTGGTTGGGTTTTAAAATAAGTACATTAATCCTGGAAATTACCTCAGGGAGCATGTCTTGTAGTAAAGTGTTTTCTGCTTCTCTTAGGGGCAGGCAAGCAATTCTCATTGGACTGAATAGGCCCCTGGTCTTGTATACAGTTCTAATAATACATCCCTAGATTTCCACATGCCCTTAGTCTTTATGCGAAGTAAGCTAACTGCAATTGGTATCGATCTTCTCATCTAACTTTCAACAACAAATAGAGTAAACATATTCTTTTACAGGATATTTACTGAATATTCATATATATAAATATTACACTTACTGATTATCACATAAAAACACCGGCACTGTATCTAAGCTTATTTGGTCTTGAGTTCATGTCTCCGTGTCTCACCCATCAGGTATCACCCGTACAGAGAGGGACAAAGGGACTCTGTACGAGCTGACCTTCAGAGGGGAGTCTAGCAACGAATTCAGGCGCCTGGTCCTCTTCCGTCCCTATGGACCGCTGATGAAGGTGAAGAACGAGAGGGTGGACACAGTCAACGTCCCAATCAACATCATCGTCCCTCTGTCAAGACGCACAGAAAAGTTCAAACAGTTCATGCATAACTTCAGGTGAGATTCAGCGATCGAACCTTTTCTCAAATTTTTGATTTCCTGATCCTTGTTTTTGATTTTCCTGGATCTAGCTGTTAATTGCAAAGTCACACAAACAATGTGACATAAACAGCAGCACCACAATAAATTATTCAAGACGGTGCCACACGTAACTAATTCAGGAAAATGTGATACTCTGCTATTCAAACCCAGTTTCAATTCGTTTTACATTTTAATTGGGGATCAGGCAGACGGGGACGAGGAGTGGTTGAGATTAGAGGAAAGAAAATTAACACCAGAGTGGTTATTTTCTTTTGAAAGACCATGTAATTAAAAATTTCAGTGCACATGTAGTGTTATCAGTAATTCTTTTTGGGGTTCTTGTCTGCATGATTCGAACGTAAACAAATCTGAAAGAGATTTGAATGATTCAGGCTAGAATATGAATGAAGATGGCCTTATAGATCCCAGCCCAGTTCTTATCAGTCGCCACACGACCACAAGAAATGTCATTTCACATATATTTTTGATGCGTATAGCTAATAAGCATCTCAAATGTATTATATCACAAAGTAGATCTAGGCTTGTATGTGTATATGATGAAACCATGAAGGCTTTTTGATATAGACAAAACTATGAAGGGCTGACTAGCAGTCAAATGTCATGGAATCTCAATCTCAGGAAACATCTTCTTTAATGTCTATGATTTATTGTGCTGCTGCTGCTGCTGCTTATCACAGCTCTTTTTACATGGTAAATCCTGCTTAGCAGCAGTTCTGCAGCCCATTAAAATGCGCCCCGGACAGACCAGCAGTAGTTGATATACAGCATGGCAAGAAGTGTACTTACTTGAAAGAGTCGGTGAGTCGCTGAGCCAACACTTTCCCCTCATTCGTATTAAAGGTATACCAGGAGAAGCTGTGTTTGTGTGTGTGTTTAGGGGGTGATAACGGTGAGTAACTGCATGTTTATCAAATATTGTTTATTCACATTTAGACTGACCAGCATTTATAATGCACTGTGATATGTTTCCCAAGTGCAGATAAACAAACATTTGCAGACGGCACTCTGGAGTCTGAAAAGAAAACGTTGCTCTTACTACATGATGAAATAATTAAACCATTTTTTTCTGCTCTGTGGTCCCAGTGGCAAAATGAAGAATGCCTCATTAGATCCGAGCAAAAATCGTTTTACTTTTAATAATGCCGGTATTTAGAGAGAGCCTCTAACACAACTGCATCTATAATGACAGTAAAAATCATGAAAAATTCATAGTCGCTCAGTATCCTCTGCACTTAGTTATTTTTAAGCATCCTTTTTTCATCTAGTTGTGTTTTTTAAGTTTTATGACATTTTTCCCCTTGTGCTTCTGGGGAAAATTCTGACAAATGTGTGTGTGCTGTGGGAGAGAGAGGCGAATAATCTCTAGCATGTGTGTGATATATTTGACATGTCTCCATTAAATTGCCTGCAGGCATTTACCACCTGGTCCCTCTTTTACTCATCTCTCCCTGTGCTTTAACCTAGCGTCAGAATGAGGACACTCAGGATTATATCTGAAAATGAAGATTATTTTCACTGTTAATTAACTTGTTGTTTGTTTTACTTTTATTTTTTTATTATTTAATCCTTCCTGGATATCAGGAAACAGAACATTACAATCTGCCACATCCAAAGGTGACATTTTTTTAATGCATCTTTTACCCAACAACTTTGGGCCCTAACAGCCCGAAGAGATTTAAAATAAAAAGTAAATCATCACATTTGAGAATCTTAAACGAGCAAATGCTTGACATTTGTTCTTGATGAATGATTTATCAGTCAATTATCTGAGTTGTTGTTGGACATCATATTGTAATCATTTCAGCTCTTAAAGCCTCCAAGCCCTCAGAGGTCTTCCTTCCTGTAATCCCCTCCTTCTCGGTGTGAGAACGCTTTCATCCATATTGTCCCTTCCTCTGTGTGTTTGTGTGTACCTACAGGGAAGCCTGTGTGCGTCAGGATGGCCGGGTCCATCTGACAGTGGTGTATTTTGGGAAAGAGCAGATGAGCGAAGTTCGCGGCACTCTGGAGAATACGTCCAGGTGGGTTGGAACTGCCGCCAAGATCAGATCTTTGAAATAGAGGCCAAGCATTGAGTACAGAAAGCAATTTATGAAATGAAATTAATGCTGCCACAGTCGTGCACCCGCTCTCAGAAGCAGACGCTGTAAAAATATTATTTTCCACACATACATCAGAAACCTCTCTTCTTCATGTTTTGAAATCTGTCTTTCACCAAACACACACAAAACACACACAGACACACACCTCTTGGCGTCCTGCCACAGCCAGTCATCTGTCTGATGAATAATGGAGCAGTGTGCCACCCACGCGAAGGAGTTGAGCGCTACCAGCCAACACAGATAAATTACAACAGGCCTGTGATCATCTCTGACTCACGCTAAACCTCTCACATGTACCTCGACACCCACACCTCTGGGGACGATCGCAGTCGGCTAATCAGAAGTCATATCCACTGTGGATTGAGCCACAGATTCCCTGAGGGGGTTGCTATGGTGATGCTTGTTGATTTCCCTGCCCCGAAGGTTTTTGTGTAGCCTTGAATCAGTTGGACTATCTCTAGTATCACACAGCGTTTCTTTGTCCCTCGTGTCTCTGCCTGCTGCTGTCGCTAAAGGGGAACTGTGAATATAAAAAAAGGCAGCATTAAACACACTTGAAGTGAAGCACCACGTGAAGTGTAAAGAAGGAGAGAATCAGAGCCTGTGAGCGTGGAAAAAGCACACAAAACATACATCAAACCTGAAATATTATTGATTTTAGTTGGAAAGAATTCTAAAGGAGTGACTGAGGTGGTTTGTAAGAGAAACACACCAAATGAAGAGCAGTACTGTATATTTTTTGTCCATGAGCATCTGTTCTTCTTTGAACCTATAGGTCTTTTGTATTCGTCTCACAGCCTAACAATGCATTCAACACTTAGGTAGCAGCTTCTGGGTTTGAATCAGTTCCTGTAATCAACTCTGTACTCCGCTTTTTTTCCCCAGCCTTCAGACTGTGGTTGAAATGAATGGGAATCATCATTGGAAGATAACTACCTGCGGCTCTATCTCAGGCAGACACACACATATAGTATATGCACAGATACAATGACAAACGGCATATAGGATCACAGAGGAAGATGCATGCATGTGTGCATGTGCAATTGGGTTGCAACTGAAGTCACTTTTTACATGTTCAAACAAGTGCAACAAGGTGAATACTTTCCAGGAGACACAGTCTGAAAATGTGTGCCTGTATCTCACCCCTATCTATGACTACAGTTCTACTTTTGTATTCAGATGTGGTTGGACAACATGTCGCACCAACTAGTTCTGCATAATCTGGCCTTTGGGTGCTTCAAGCTCACAGTGGAAATTATATTATGCTAATGTTTACCATGTTCGCTGTCTTAGTTTAGCATGTTAGTGAGTCGACACTAATTAGCACTAAAAACAAAGTCTCATTAATTGTATGTTGTCATAAACCAAAGTACTTGACATGCCGCTATAGAACAAGCAGGGCATCAACAAAATTATGACCATTCATCCTCTGGGGACCATGAATGTCTGCACCAAATGTTATGGCCATACACCCAATAGTTTTTTTAACTAAAAACCTCAAATCTGAACCTCATGGTGGCCCTAGAGGAAAAGTCACGGGATCAAAGTCATTAGGATTCATCTTCTGGGTATTCACTAATTTTTGTATCAAATTTCATGACAATCCATCCAATAGCTGTTGAGATATTTCAGTATGAGCCAAAGTGGTGGGCCCACTGACAGACGGACAGGCAGACAGCAAATATTAACTTTAAATTCAATTCCAATTTTGCCCCTGAAAACCAAGTCAAAACCCTGAAAGAAGTAGGTCAGCCAAAAAGTCCTTACTCTGAAGTTCTAAAACAACAAATTGGTTCACACAAATATACAATTCAAGTGCAAGTACACAGAGACACATTCCCTCACAAACAGATCAATGTCTGTGATCATCATTTGGTCTGATTCGACACTGCTCTTCCTACAACTTACATTCCCCTCTAGAAACTAGTTTGATTTGTGTCTGCTTCCAAACAACCTCTAGCTGTTTGTTCTTTTTTTGCAAAATGCCACTGAAGAGACGACCAGGAGACTGAAATGTTTTTCACAATAATATATTCAAAAAACTAAAATGCAATATTTCCATGACATTTTCCACATTGTTTTCCATCGTCTGAAGTTTGACTGGTGGTCTTTTAATTAGATTGTTCTCTCTTCTTCAATGATTTAATGGCATGAAGACTGGAGAATTAAGGCCACCAACTCTTTATCTCGATCCGCCAAACACCTCACACAATCACATAACAGTAGTGGGTGGACCTTCGAATTAATTCTGGACACTTCTGGATGGACACAATTTGGGCTATATAGAAATTGTTGTTACACTGAGATATTTATCTTGGAGAGTGTCAAAACACATATTGAGGTCACACACTCTGCTCAGTGTCCCTCCTTAAATTCTTTCCAAATAAAACATGTATATGACTATCAGCAGCCAAAATAAACCTCTTGAGGTGTGTAAGACCTTTGCAAACCAAGAACTGCACTTGGTCACCCTCTTGCTGCTATGTTGCATCTCAACCAACTTTCTGTCCAACACATTTCGTGAGTATAACAATCAAAATGGTCCTGGATCTCCACTAGCTTTCTAAGCCCTACCAACGCCTTTTCTGGGATTAAATGACAGTTAAAAAACGCTTCAGGGTTTTTTTTTGCAGGTGCTAATTATTTGGGTGTATACCAAAGGCCAAACCAGTTCTACTGTAACAAAAGCCAAAACAAGCTGAATATAGTTGATAGACAGCAATGCTCCAGAAAATCTGAACATTAGTCTTCAAGCATTCTGCCAGACACCAGGGATATTGTTTAAAATAGATAGGATCAGCCGCTGAGCCTTCAAGTATCGCTTACACATCCGTACTTCAAAGCCTGAACTCAAGCTCAAACTATTGGGGGACATGTAAGTTTCTGAGCCTTACATGCTCAAGAATAATGATTCAGAATAACGTGAGATAAAGGTACAAGAGAGGGAGAGGGAGAGCGTTTGTGTGTAACGGAGGGAGAAGAATGAGTGATCTGGTGTAAAGAGATACCAGTCGATACCTATCATGAATAAGTACTGTGCTTCAGATGCGGAAGAGAGGCGATGGCTGAGGGGAAAAACAGTGAGAAAGGAAGTAAAAGGAGATGTGTGAAGATAAGAGAGCAAAGCTAAGTTGGGAAAAAGACAGATTTTCCAAGGATGGAAGAAGAGCATCAACATGGATATCAAAGGAAGTCGTTCGTTGAGATGAAAGAGAAGGATCAGAAATTTGGACAGACAGAAAAAAGGAAGGAGGAGGTCATACTGTCAGTCCTTGGCTAAAACCTTTCCCTCATCTTTCTCTTGTACCACCCTGCGAAAGCCTCTCCAACAAGCCTTTCATGTCATGTAGCATTTCATACAGTTGACAGATGGGTCAACAATTTTCTGACGGGCCTCTGACAGCTTAAAGGAAGTGAGAGGACAATGTCGACCAGAAGGTGACTGAGAAAAGCTTATGAGTGGATGAAATGACAAACAAATCGTAGAGGAATTTCAAAAACTGTCCAATATTTAATTTTAGCATGTGTATTTACAGATCGCCAATACAGTCCCATTCTGTAAATGTGTTATTGAGAACTCAGAGCCTGAGAGTGATCATAACAAGTCTACATTTTTTATAGCTTTCACTTACCTCTCCATGACATGCACAGACTGCTGATTCCCCAGCTTTTTTTTGTCTTCTGCACAATAGCCCAGAGAGAGGATACACCAGCCTGCCTGCTCTGTAAACAGCAGACAGGTTAAAGACAAGGAAGAGGAATATGTTTAAAAGTCATTGCTGGCATTAAAATAAATCCCATGTCCAAGAGAGCTACCAGCTGTCAATGCTGCGTCAGAAAACATACAGATGTTGAAGAAGTGGAAGCATGTAGCTTCTTTAGTTGAAATGTATTTATGAGGCAACAAAACTTACTTGACCAAGAACCACTTGCCAAAAACTTGTTGAACTTTCTGGACTTCCTACCAAATAAAAACAAAGTGCTGCTTGGCACAATGTCATGTAAATTGTGGGAGAAAGTGCAGGTTGTCTATTTTCTTAATGTTTGTTCATGAGCAAGGTACTCACTAGCTTGCGAACGTTGACATCGCAACAAGCTAGAAGTGGTGGGGTTGGTTTGCCTAGAGTGGGTCTTCTGTGTTACGGTATCCAACCCCAATGAAGCGCTTTACATGACAAGATCACCAGATTCATTAGGATTTATTCTCTGGGGAACATGAATGTTTGTACAAAATATCAAGGCAGTCCTTCTAATAGTTTTTGTGACATTTGTCTCGACCGCAGTGGAAAGACAACTGACCAACAATCTCTAGAGCAATGCAACTAGTATTGCTAAAAAGCAAAACATGTCGTTCAAATGTGTTTAGACTGAGAAGAATCCTGGATATAGCAACATATAGGTTTGCTTACAGTCGAGACATTGAGTATGCACTAAATTTGCAGTCCTCAAGCTATAAACACACACAAGCAAATGGTTACACAGAGACATAGAGATTCACAGAGAAAGAAAAGAGACACGGACGGAAAATCGGGTTTCCCCTCCCTGTCCTGAGCAGAACTAACAGGATAAGACCTGCTGCTGAGGCACAACATGACAGCTCTGTACAGGCTTCTCACTCTGACACAATTTCAACAATTTAGTCCCCACTAGATAGCAGCCATCACACACCTACAGTAAACAAATTGACTGGCCATGATAAGGATGCTCATGCCTGCAGGGAAAAAGAGATGAAAAAGAGCACAATATGAAAAGTCATTTAGGAAACAAAGATAGTGCTCGACTCAAGTGGCGTTTTCCACTTGACACACGATAGTAGCGCTTATGTTCATATTTTGAGCTTGCATTTTTTTGAGACTGGGTAGGTGGACGCACAAACATCTGAGGGCAGCACACACACACACACACACACACACACACACACACACACACATGTATTCAAAAGGATGAATAATACATTGGCTTTGTCTCTCTGGAGATTTCAGAGATAATTATATTTTCCCCTAAATAATATTGGGAACCGGAAAAATATCACCACCATAAAACTACCAATTAATTATTTATAACTTCCTGTCTCCCAAAACGTAAATATGCACAGATGAATTTGTAAACCACTTCAGGAGATCTACACGTCTGTACACTTAACATGAAGCTACTGCCAGGAGACGGTTAGCTTAGCTTAGCATGAAGACTATAAACAGACAGGGAAAAACCTAGCCTGAGTCTATCTGAGGGTAACAAAATCTACCTACAAGCACCTCTGAAGCTCCCAGATGAAAACATTATTCAGAATATTGTTTGTTGAATCTGTTCAAAAACTGAAATGTAAAAACAGCTTTATCTTGAAAGTGGATTTATACCTTTACACAGAGCTAAGCCAGCTGTTTCCCTCCCTCTGCCTGTCTTTAATAAAGCAGCAGCATATATTATCGTATCTCACAGCCTCATGTCCTCTCTAGCTTTATAATATGTGAGGAATATTGGCGCTCAAGACAGATTTACATCACTTTAGTTTCCCTCTGAAGTAAAATCAATTAAAGTCTACGGTGAAACTCAAAGTGGTTTATTGTTTAGGGCCAAGACACAAGCATGCAAATGCTCTCACTTAACTGTGCTGAAATGGTAAACAAGGCGCAAAGGTAACAAAATCTTCATACCAGCATCTCTAAAACTCACTAATTTAACATATTATATCTTATTTGTTTAATCCACAGTTGTTTGTACAGTTAATTTTTTGTACGAATTATCAAACGACATGTAACGTGTGAATATGTGATCTTCAGAGGTGCTGGTAGGCAGATTATTAGCCCTGCTAGTGGTGTTTGTTTAATTCATACGAAAACCAAAAAACCTAAAAATGACTTTAAACATTGTTTGAGACAAACAGAGCGATTGTGCTCTGTCTCTGCCATCTGTGCACAGTTTAGTGCCAGCGGGTGGGTCAGTGTCTCCTGGGACTCTGTGTAGACTCTAAAACAGATCGACTCTGTTTGGATTCATAAACTGTAGACAGACATGGAGACTAGTCAGTAGACATATTGACTCACAGCACATGAACACATACGGACAGCTACATCAAGACATCTTGTAATTGTTCCTGATATTTTACTTGTTTCTAAAAAATATGCCGGCCCAGGGTTTTAATATGTCTTAATTAATGGGAGAGCCTGAAAGGATGGGAGTGAAACAAAGACTTATGGTGATAGACATTATTCAACACTCACACACAAAAGTTACAGTTAGATGGAAATGTTACAGTTAGATGGAAATGTTACAGTTAGATGGAAATGTGGGAAGTATGATTCAAGCTGCTTCTGGTAAAAACAAACTGACTCCTCTGGTCATTCTGCTGCTCTGTATGTCTGCATCCGTCCACTTGCTCTCTGTCTACTGTTTCATGTGTTGTGTCATCTAAAACCACATGGATGAAGGAGGTTAGATCCTGTTTGTTTTGCCTCGAGCAGAGACGGGTGAACCAGTTTTTCCCAGTATCTTCTATCTGAAGTCAATGAAAGTGTGTGTGTGAGTCTATGTATGCATGAGTAAAGGATTTGTAAGTAACCGTGTGAATTGTTATAGTTAATGAAAAAAGGCACAGCTGTTCACATCTGGATCCAGCTGTTTCTCTTTACTCTCACCACATCCTTGGAATAACTTCAAGCCAGTGATGGAGGAAGCTAAGTTGACCCGTGCAATTAATTTTCGGTTCCAGTTAAAGCTTGTCCGATGTCGTGAGCGGAACCCGAGAGAAAAGAGCAGGAGGTGGGAAATGAAGTTGTGATGATTTGTAAGGTCATCATGTTTTAATCTTTGGGTGGAAAGAAACTAACTAAAACTAAAGGCATAAATGAGCCAAATGGGCCTGTATGCTGTGCTGTGTTAGTTTCGGCAGTGGTGAAAGTACATTTACACAAGCACCATTTTATGCCACTTAATACTTCTCCTCTACTACATTTTGGAAGCAAATATTGTACTTTTTACTCCACAACATTCATATAACAGCTTTAGCTCCTAGTTACTTTGCAGATTTAGATTATTATTAGAAAATATATATATATATATATGATATGTTATTATAGGTTGAGCTACCCTGCAGTATTTAAAGTAAAATTAAAATTATCCCCACCTTTATCAGGAATATTAAAGTGATGTACACATGAATGCATCACAAATTATAATCCAGTAATATAATTCTTCATAATGAATACTTTTACTTTTGGTACGTTTTGATCGTAAAACTACTGTACTTTTATTTAAGTAAGATTTCAAATGCAGCACTTGTTACAGCACTTGTAACAAAGTATTTCTACACTTTATTATTGCTACTTTTACTTACATAAAACATATGAATACGTCTTCCACCAAGGGGTTGTGGTAATTTGATTAAACACAAATTTAGGAATAGACCCCATTTGAACACAGTATCAACTGAAATAATAAAAAGGTATTTAAACAGTTTGGCCCCTCTACAAGACAGGGGCTCAAGATTTAGTAAAAATGCTGGAGCCAGTTTAAGGCCCTCATCATTTCAGTTTACATTATAGTGTACTTTAGCGATGCATATTCCCAAACAAATTCTTTGACAAATGAATCAAATTACCACAAATGAATTGCCACAGAGTTAAACTGAGGCCCTGGAGCAGTTGCAGATTCTTGGTTGTTAACCCAGCCTCAGGATTACGTGTCTATACTGCATTTGCTAATATACCAATATGCAGATCATGATGATCATTTTGGCTGTAGACTGGACACAACATTTCACAGCTGAGTGCACAATGGGCTCGGAGACCCTTGTGCACACCGGACCTGCAAGAGTTAATATCTGCATAAGAATTTCACATAAATTGTCAATCAACATCTTACTTCTGCTTTCTTCTCTGTCTTTCTGTTATTCCTCACCTCTTTTCAGTGGTTTTATTTCAATTAATATCTTTCAATTAAATCCAATGTTGCCCAAGTATGTAGGCAAGGAAAGTGTAATTAAAAATGTAAATAAATAATCAAAAGCGCAGGAGAACAGGATAATTTGGCACGTTTGAATAAGCTTGTTTTGCTTTGAATGAATTCGGCAAAATTGTAATCTCAAATTCTTTCATTCTATAAGAAAACTGACTGTTCTCTGTCTAACCACCATGATGATCCCAACCTCTCTGTTTCTCTGCAGGGAAGTTAACTTTAAGAACTATACTCTGCTGCAGCTGGACGAGGAGTTTTCTCGGGGACGGGGTCTTGACGTCGGGGCCCGAGCCTGGAAGGGAGGCAACGTACTGCTTTTCTTTTGCGACGTGGACATCTACTTCACAGCTGACTTCCTGAACACCTGCCGACTCAACACACAGCCTGGTGAGACATACACACATTATGGCAAGCCCGTTTTAACATATCTAAGATTGACATGATTAAAATTGAAGATATCCATAATGTATTAATGACGAAACGTTAAGATGAAGATATATAATTATGTTGCAGTGCATGTGTTTGGAGATCATTCTTAGAAGCCACACTGCAATTGTAGTATTGTATATCTTGAATTATGAATCTGACTAGTCACTGTGCATTTTAAGAAATGTAAAGTATAATTAAGGACAGTCAAATAAACCTTGATATGTTCAAACAGCTTCCAGAAATAACCTTTTTAGGATATCTATAACTGCTGTGACATACTACAATTGTGCAGTAATAACACAAATTCAAGATATCTCCATCGTAGTTTTGACTAGTAATCTTAGTTTTTAGATACATAAAAAGATAATTAAGATATCTTTTAATGTGCTGATCAAAATCTATCTTAAATTTAAATTCCGATTATTCAAAACTAGATTGAATATGTCTTCATTTTAAGATATCTTGAATAAAAGTTTTGACTAGTCATAAATTTCTGTGATGTCATTATAGATATCTTAAAAGGATTTCTGACTAGTCGAAATCTATTTGGTGACATCATGAATTGTTGTTCTAACTAGACAGAATGCAATTGCAGATATCTTGAATTATAATTCCAACTGACAAGTCAAAATGCATTTGTAGATGTCTCAAATGTAATTAGTGATGGTCAAGTGCTGTCTGACACTGCTGTCTCGCTCCTTCTCAGGTAAAAAGGTGTTCTACCCAGTGTTATTCAGCCAGTACAACCCCACTCTGATCTATGGAAGTCCTGAACACGTCCCACCTGTGGAGCAACAGCTGGTAACACACAGCAATCAAATCCTATCCTCTCCCTTACCATTTTTTTTCAAACACTCTACAAGCCACTTGTGGAAAATATTGTACTTAATGCTGTGCTACATCACAGGGAGCTTCAGAAATATTTCCCCTCTCCAGCTGCTAAGTATTCAAATCCACAGAAGCATACTCCCGTTGAAGTGCCTCCTGTGTGTCTTGAGCTGATATGTTTCTGTTCATAAGCTCTCTGAGACTCTGAGTTATTTTCTCTGTAGGTGATGAAGAAAGACACGGGGTTCTGGAGGGACTTTGGTTTCGGCATGACTTGCCAGTACAGGTCCGACTTCATCAACATAGGTAAATATTACAGAACAACAACATTTGCAACACAACATGCACTGCCGTCACAACATCTTAGCAAAGCAGGAATTTATAAACAGTTGCTCTTGGGGGTTGATTATCTCAGCAGAGGCGTTACATAACGCAGCCTTCCTGGATGACCAAAATATGCATTCTGCTGTGTTAATGGTGCCATAGCTTAATGGATATGAAAAACATCAGAACACAAATGGTTCAATATTACATTACCTTTTTAACTGGAAGGAGATTTTATTATACTACTCTGCATGAGACAGCTCTGAGCAGCGGCAGCAGCATATATTAGCATATCTCACAGCCCCATGTCCCCTCCATCTGTATATTAGGTGAGGAATATTGGCTCGCAAGACAGATTTACATCAATTTAGTTTCCCTCCAAAGTGACATCAATTAGAGGCTACAGGGAAATTTAAAGTGGTTTATTGTTCAGGACCCACACACACACACACACACACGCAAGCATTCAAGTGCTGAAATTTTAAACAAGGCGCCAAGAAGGCCAGAAATCTGTTTCAAAGGAATAGTTCGACATTTTGAGGAATATACAAGTACATGCATTTATGTGTGTAAATATGTGTGTGCATATGATACCTGTTTTTGATTTACTGTACATAATCACATGAAATTGTTGTAGTTCTGTCTACTGTATGGACCCTTGATAGAAAGAGCAGCTGTTGCATTGGCAACAGCTAATGGGGATCCAAATATAAACAAAAACAAAATGAGAGGATCAATACCCTCTCATGTTTGTACAGTAAATATGTAGCTACAGCCAGCGTTGGGTCTGCTTAGCTTAGCTTAGCATGAAGACTGGAAGAAGGGGGGAAACAGCTAGCCAAATATTAAAAAAACAACATTAAACACCTCTACAGCTCACTTTTGAACACGTATGTCAAGATTGTCCTCCCAAGAAAAGCAATCGCAAATGCCCCAAAATGACATCTGTTTTTACAATAAAGCAACAAGGACCAAACAGTTTTTACAAAATACAACACGGGAGACCATGACCGTGGTCCATGGTAACCATAATAAAGTTACCCAAACCACGATTCATCCCTAACCTTTACCAACTTGTTTTTTGTTCCTAACCATAACCAAACTTTAACCAGAGTGATACCAGATGAGAAAATGTTTTGTAACGCTTTTGGAAGGCTCTGAAAAATCAAATGTCATGTCGATAGTGGCGTCAGATCAGAAAGTGCTTATACTAACTCTATGTGTCGTTTTGGAGGGTACAGACAAACAAAATATTTTGTCAGCTAATTTTGAGGACTTATTGTTTATGTCGTTTGTTTACGCCATATAAAAAACGACAAATTATAGTTTAACGGATACTATTTCTGAGCCAGGTGCAGTGATTTCCTGTAAAACCACAGCTTACCAGGTTTGCGCTTTGGTTTTTGTACAGATTAAACAACTAAGATATCACGTGAAAATGATTACCATACAGACTCATCAATATTCTCATCTAACTCTCAAACAAGAAAGGGAATAAGTGTGATTCCCCAAAAATATTGATCTATTCCTGCAGTCCTTCAGAAATTACAATGCAAAATGTTGTTTAGGCCATGTGTCTGGTTCAAATTCCTATCTTATCTCTTTTTAGCCCTGTAGCACGGGAAAGGGAAACGCAGAAAGACAGAATAATCAAAATAAAACTACAGAGAGACACAACATGTGAGGAAAAGCAGACATGAGCATTTCAGACGTCTAAAGATGCAGGTTTAAACTTGCCTCGTCAAGAGCTGTTTTGGAGTACACAGCATTGCTTCAAAAGTTCCTCACGAAACCACAAATCAGGCAGTATGGAGAGAAAACTGATTATGATCACAAACTGGAGACTTTAATCAGGATTCATTATCAGGATTCCTTTAAGAGGTAGTGAACGCAGCACTGAAAACATTAATTGCTTAGAAATGTTTGCAAATCAAAAATCTCCACTTTACAGAACAACACATCCTTTGATGGTATAATAACGTTTAATATCATACTGATTTCCCCTTCTGCTCTCTTATCTCCAGGAGGATTTGACATTGACATCAAAGGCTGGGGGGGCGAAGATGTCCACCTGTACAGAAAGTACCTCCATAGCAACATCCTAGTTATCCGTGCACCATCACGAGGCTTGTTCCACCTGTGGCATGAAAAACACTGTGCTGATGAGCTCCCGCCAGACCAGTACCGCATGTGCATGCAGTCCAAGGCCATGAATGAGGCCTCGCATGGCCAGCTGGGGATGCTGTTCTTCAGACACGAGATCGAAGCTCACCTGCGCAAACAGAAACAGCAGCAGAACTCAAACCCCAAGAAGACATGAAGGCTTAAAGCTAAATTATAAACACTGCAATGACTGCAGTCAGTTGGAACGCTGCAGATGAATTCATCTGATCTGAACTCTGATTTTAAAGGACTAGTTCAACACTTTGGAAAATACACTCATTTGCTTTCTTGCTGAGAGTTAGATGAGAAGACCGATACGCTAAATTTGGAGCTAGAGCCAGCAAGTGATTAGCTTAGCTTAGCATAAAGACTTGAAAAGGGAGCAACAGCTAGTCTGGCTGTGTCAAAAACTACCTGCACCTATAAAGCTCACCAATTAACACGTTATATGTCTTATTTGTACATAAAGCGAAGTGTAAAAATTACTTAAGTAATATTATTTAAGTAGTTGTATTCTTGACTTTCTTGGCAAAATAGTCAAGAAATAAAAAGAAAAATATTTCTCTCCTCTAAGTCTCGGCAAGAAAGTGAATAACCCTAAAATGCTGAACTATTCCTATAATGAAAAATGTGAAGACTTTTTACTTTTTGAGGACTCAAAGCACTTTGTTGCTCTAGAAAGGACAACTTAAGATTAATGAAAACTTATTGAGGAATTCATCTCCTCAACTGGAGTGGACTGTTTTTTGTTGGACACAAATCAACAGACCTCCTGTTTGAATCATCCATCTGTAATTAAATGTCAATTTGTAACTTCCTCTGTAACTGCAACAAGGCCTTTCAGAAAGCAAACATAGAACCATAAGTTTGATCTATGAAGTTACTCTGAACCGTGTGCCTTCTGTGAATAAAACCTTCAGGACAGCCAGCGACAATGCACAGGTTTTTATATGTAGGTCAGCAGGTCCACCTAGTGGACTGAAAGTTAACATGTTTGTGAATAAACAATGAAGGACCATTTAAAGCCTGAAAATGATAAATTATTGATCAGTGATATTCATTTGCTTTATCTATGTTTGTTCTTATTATGTTGTAAAGGATTATGATTTCTTATTGCCTGGACAGTATTAAGTGTGGTCCATTCACCTCTATAATGAAGTAAGAATGGTGCTGAGTCAAAGAAAAACATGCTATGAATGACAGGTGACATTTTTTTTCAAAAGCCTTGCATCATATGTATTTATGCCCAAAATATAACTAAAGATAGGTAATTTTTTTAAATGTTTAATTGATAAAACATCTAGACTTATTTGTTTGTTTTTTGAAACATAGGCTAACTAATTTGTTGTCACATAAGGGATAAAGTAAAAGAATTTATGACTGACAGTAATACCATTCACTGTCCTGACAATGACGATGACTTAACGCAAGTCAGAATAAGACTGTTAATCTTGGTTTCTGTCAAACTAATGTGACTATGTGTGGACCTTTATAAATGTCATAAATGCGCACATCAGGTGCAATAATGAAGAGAAAATGTGACATTACATATATTACTGTGCAGTCACAGAAACTGGAGATGTTATAGGTTTAGAGATATAACTTCCTCAATGGTTATTTTATATTTAGTTTAATATGGTTACCCATAAATCTTGCTCCAGCACTTCTTCAGTCCTTTGAGGCAATCAAAACGAGCTGTACTTTTGGTGGATGACCAAAGATGTGAAAAGAGGCACTTTTTCAATAATGTTTTTATTGTTTGCCATTGAAACATTCCTTGTAATAGTGACTTTATGTACATTTCAAGTTATTTTTCACTTCATGTAAACGAGTTGAATAAAAATGTGTGCATTGTGTATATTTTATTATGATGTGTTGGTATATTTCACCTGCAGTAACTATTGAGTATTATCCAGCTTGAAGGTAGAATATAAGACATAGATATACAGATATTTGAGAAAATTATTACTTCTATTTCTTGGCTGCCCATCATGATACATGTAATAATACATAAATATGAATTATATTCTTTCATTTAACTTTTATTTTATGCTTATTTTATGGGACAAGTTGAAGAACAAAAGCATGGAGACCGGAAGTGTTCAGTATTTAATAAGTAAAAACAAGATGAAATAAATAACCATTTAATCAATATAGATAGAATGTGTAATATTACCATGCAATTGTAAAATAATACAATATATTTGTTAAAGCTTAGATCATTATTATGTTAATTATTAAGTTTATTTTGTCAATAACAGAATTTATTGAGGAGCTCATTAATCTCACATTTTCTCCCAATGTCTGTTTAATGTCATTATGACACTTTTAATCGTAACTTATCAATCACTAACAAACAGCCTTGGCTGTGACAGAACCTTCACACACACAAAAAAAGCCCTGTGGTCTGTTCACACAGGTGTTTTTAATCACTTTGCCTAATTAAACCTTCTCTCACATTATATTTAAATTTAAAATTTTACCAACTAAGGCTGCTAATACTTAACCATAACTTCAGATAAATGTTGGACTACATTTTTGGACTGCATCATCAAAATAAGCGGCTTTAAAAAAAAATTGTGTTGGATGTGTTTTTTCTATACAAAATTCTACTACTTCTACTCCTCCCTCATATGTATCATTTAAGGAAGCAAGATGTCTCCTACTTAATTGATTTTCATTGTTATCTGCCTGGTGGATTTTGATTGTTTACTATTAAATAGAATCAAATATGGTTTATAATATTAAAATGTAGGGCTGAAACGATTAATTGATTAAACTGATAAAATCGATTAATAAAATGCATCCACGCAAATTCTTTGCATCGATGCTTTGTTTAATCCATAACTATATAGCACAGTGTTTCACACGGACATTTATTACTGTGGCACATGCACTTACGCTGTGAACACAACGTGATTAATGGCGCTGTTTGCAAAGTGGAGGAAGAGAGAGAAAATAGCAAGGAAGTGTCCAAAGTATGGGATTATTCAAGCTCAAGAAAACAACAACTCTGTAATGTTACCGTCCGTCCACCATAAAACGAAACTTATGTGGTCTCGGTAACAGCAGGACGGCTTCTGATCAGAAATTAGCCGGTGTTCTGCCAGCGGACCACAGACAAGGTACCAGGAAAAGCAACATCAGTGTTTAACTGAAATCATGATTGATTGTTGAGTTGAAGGCCAGCCAAAGTAATCCGCAGTCCTCATCTTTAAATGTGCACATGTGCGTTTGTTGTTCTCTTTTTTTTGGGTGTGAGTTGTAACATCACAGTCAAGAGTTAACTAGGTGTCGGAAAGCTGCACCTTTTAACTCCCCTGCAGCTCTCTGTGTAGCTCAGACAATCACCCATTCTTTATAATAACAAACAGCTGTTTCTGTGCAGGTTCGCTCATTCCTTCATTTCACCTGCATTTTCTTGACAAAAGTTGGTTTGGAAACCAGCATTGCCTGCCATAACTGGCAACGACTTCAACGGCACGGTGTTTCGGTTTAACCGGTGGCCTTGTTAACTGGTGACCGTTTGCCGAATGCGTCTGTGGTTGTCATAGGACAGCTGTTGAAAACAGGAAGCGAATACGTAGCTGTCCCCGCGAATGCCTCTTTGTAGTTATTCATTTAAAAAGTCAAAACATACATTTTCTAATTTGTCTTTGGAGTCGTGTGTGTGTGTAAACCTGTCACGTACCACTTTGTCACAATTTGAACGTTGCTTGTTGTTACAGGAAGAGGGCAAGTTGCTCTTCCTGTGAATGTCAAACATTATCTCTAATAATTATTCTAATTACACATATTTGTCCTTGGAGTCTGTGTCAGTAAACACATGTCATGTAGAAAAACGATCAGCCTTTTAAAACGAATAAAATAAAAGTAGTTTTTGTCACGGGAATCCAACTCAGATCAATGTGGGAAATTAATCAAATTGGGATCGATATTCCACTAGCCTGTCATCACCTCGCACGCCGCTGTCGGCGTGGCGTAAAACAACTTCTGGAGCATAGCCAGCCATCACTCTTTAAAAACGGGAGACACAGATCAACTTGTGACCACTAACCAAGACCATGTCCGTATTTTCCTTGTTCCCTTCACAACCAAGCCGCCGTTTATCACAGAGTTGTTTACAAGATGTCGATGGGCAATATTTATGTTGATAGCCTACTTAAACATGTAGCTGACTATGGTTATGGATGATTTATTTTATTTTTTGTTTCTAATTCGGTAATGCTTGTCAACAATCAACCACCCATCTCGGATCCTGGAAGTCACAGTTGGTTCCTTCTGTAAAATTTCTGCCCTGGTTAACTAATTAATGAAGGTTTAATTATTGTTCATACCGCGTAGTGGTAGAAAATCACAGTTTTGACATCTCCTCCTAGACCGTAGCTCCGATTGCCACCAAATTTTCAGTGAATCATCATTAGATCAAGCCCATTAAAAGTTGTATACAGCATGTCGATATCTCAATTACTTTTCAAGATATGGACCAATGAACTTTGAAAGGGGCATAGCGCTGGACATGAATGACCACAAATCAGCAACCGTAATCATCACAAAACTCACAGGATATGTTCAGATAGGTGCCCCGGATAGGGGCACAAGCGCTACAAGACAGGTGCTTAGCATTATGTCTATGAAGATTCTCAGTCATCCAGGTCATAGTTATCCAACGAGGGTTAAAATCAAGGGCAACTGGACTTGGTTGAAGCTACTGGAAGACGTTTCGTCCCTTATCCAAAGGACTTCTTCAGTTCTGACTGACTTGCAGGGAAACTCAGCTATTTAACCTCAGTGGGATCGTTATCCCGGGTCATCGATACCGCTGGTTCGTTAGTGTTCCTTGTTGCTGTGACGACAGTCGTTACAGTCGTTGAGAGTTCCTGTGGCCAAGACTGAACGACCATCGTTGGTATCACCTGTTAACCTATTGGCCTCAGGTGATACCAATAGGCTACAAAATGCATATTGTTTGTCCAATCAACACAAAACTTCAAGGATATGTCTACATCAGCACCTCACACATATCCTGAAAGTCTCATTCAAATTGATCATAGGAGGCGCTATAAGTGCATAATAATTGGATGTGGAATGAAACAAATCAAGCTATAGCTCAGAAAATGCTTGTCCAATCGTTATAAAACTTGCAGAATGTGTTTCGTAACAATGTTGAACCATGTGTGTGTGAAAAATTTTTTGATGGCGATATTGCGCAAAAAAGGTATGAACCCGCGAATTGCCGCTTGCGGCTATTTTAGCGATTGTTTTTGTGTTGGCAATCTGCTTTTCTCCATTTGCTGTGAGCTGGAATGAGCTAGAAACATGAAACTTGGCACAGTAACTCTAACAGATGTGCTTGCACTGTCACAGAAATATTACACCAATCGGCCTCACGGTGGCGTTGTAAAAATTACAGGCTTTGAAAGGCCACCTGCTTCACACCATAAGTCTGATTGACTTGAAATTTCTCACAGAAGTCCAGCTCAATGTGCTCTACAAAATACCCCCAGGGCTAGAGCAGCACTTTTAGACCGCAGCCAAAACGCCATCATAACTCACTGATACTTATAATTTTAGTCTCATGTGCAATAAAAGTCAAAGAGGATTAACCCTAACCTGACAGTTGATATTTATAAGATCCAGACATGATGATGTGATTGGACAGTGATATTCATTAAATTAGCCTATTATTACTTTTGTTACATTAGTACAGGAGCATCTCAAATCTAAAAAAATATTTAATATAGTGGACAAGTTAATTGTGAGCACCAGAACCAGACACTTTTGCAGGTGTTTTCAGTTAATTAGCTGATAAGAGCTCTTCTCAGGTCGACATTTCTGTATAATAAATAATTTATTCTGAAATTCTAATAAATTTTGGGATACTAGAATTTTGATTCTATGAGCTGTAAGCCCTAACCATCAATCATCAAGATTAAAATGAAAAAAGGCTTGAAATATTTATAAGATTATATTTTTTAATTAAATATTGGAAGAAAATGTTTTTCCACGATTTTAAATAATTTTCCAGTAGATGCACCTATAGGCTACTTGGTATATTTGTCATCAAGAGGAAATGTCTTCTTACTTTTTCTCATTCACTCATCTCTTTCTAATCTTTATCACTATATTTCAATTATTCTTTCTTCTTATCTAATGTGCTGAGATCAGCTGTAAAAAGCCCTGAGATGATCATTTGATACAAGCTCCGACACAATGTATTGAAACTATGCGAATAAGCAGAAAATCTCTAATAGCGAGATAATATCACCTAATAACAATAAACTAGCCAGCAATACAGTCACTTTACTGAAGTGTTAGTGAACCGCCGACAAGTGTTTCAGGTTTGAGTCCGCAGCTCTGTCTGACGCTGCTTCTCTCTGTGAACGGCCGGTGAGGTTTACCTCTCCGCGTAAAAAACTTTGTCCATAACATCAGCTGGTTAGTTACTAGTTAGTTTTTATATACAGTCCATGGTTAGTTAGCACGCTCGCTCACTGAGGGGCCGCTGGTGAAACAGCACAACAGCCCCTTATCACGACGACAAAGAAGAAGAGTTCTGTTTCTTCTTCTTTAGTGTGTATTAGCGGTGGGCAAACCGGCTGAGAGATGCATTACCGCCACTGCGGTAAAAGAGCTGTTGCTACGTTGTTTTGCCGCTCCAGTCAGAAAGACGGAGGGACAATGAAACAATTGAACTTACTTAAAAAACCTAAAAGTTCCGGGGCTTTTGACAAAATATTCGGGGCTTAAGCCCAATTAGCCACCCCCTCTCCGCCTATGGTCTGATGTTTGCTGTATGAGACACTATGATTTCCCGAAAGGACTAATAAATATCTATCACCTATGAACGTGCACAACTGATCCCTTTACCGGGTAATACAATCCACCCTCCATGAAGGTTATAATATTCAGTTTTTTGTTTTAAAGGAGTGCTGATTTAACTTTTTTTTTTTTCATAATAAAGTGTTTTTTATTTGGTAGCCTATCTTGTTGCCACATTCATTCTAGGGCTGGAAATAAATATTGTATAAATTACTGAAGCTTTGGAGCTATTATTGGTACTCACACAATTTCCAGAATCATTTTAATGTACCTTAACCTCCAAAGCACTAGATGGGGTCAGTGATCTAAAAACAATGTCAGTTGTGATTACTGCTGACCTTTGTTTGTTCTTGAAGTCTACATGCCACAGTAACTTAAACCATGACAGATAATTAAATGTATACATACATAAGTAGTATAGATTGACTGAGGCAATGCATTACATACAGGTTAGTGTATAAACATTATCATGTTATCTAAAAAACGGGGTAAATGTTAAAGTTTATGTTTTCATAGTATATTTCAATTTAGCCCAGTGTTTAGTTGGAGAAATTAGCCTACCTCTGGGGGTTAGTTAACAAGTGGCTTTATGGAATTCCCTGGGTGATACATTTTTACTGTGCAGGTTCATCAAATCAGATGTGAACACTACTGTGGAGTTTCTTGAAAGACCTATTTGAAAAGGAATGTAGCTCTGGTTTAAAAACTGATATCTTACAAGTCCTTTGAAATAAACAAGAGACACAGTTTTGGAGGCTGTTTATTTATTTTTTTTATTTTACAACAATAATATGCTGTAGGCTAGTTGTGGAGGAATACATGGCATGAGGTTTACCATAATTTACCACAAAAATGCTGCACAGACTCATTCAGACAAAACTGTCATCCATGCCTCCCAAACAAGGGAAACGGCACAGGCTATGTAGATATGGCTAATACTGAGGTGTTGCCCCATTTGCAACAACTCTGTATTACTCTCTAATTTGGTTTGTTTTTAAAATCAATTTGCACCTTGCTATATATTTTGTGACCCCAAATATGCAAATATTGGATTCTCCAAACATTTTACTTTTATTGGCAGACAAAAGACATCTGCCAACTCAAAAAATACGTTTAGGCTACATGAATAGTTTGACATTTTGAATTCACTTTTTGTGCTTTACAGAGAATTGAATGAGAAGATCAATCACAGCCAGTTAGCATAGCTTAGCGCAAAGACTGGAAACTGGGAGAAGCTGCATTTGTCCCACAGTAACAAAATCACTGATTAAAACATTAGCTACTGTAGGTTTTCAAACGAGACATAAGTGTAAAAACGACACGACACTGTTACAGAGAGTTATGTGCCTGGCAAACTCACTGACACAAGAAGACTCCAGGAAGTCACTGCACCCGCCATGAAATGGAAAAAACAGTTAGTCCAGCACATGTTTTTAAACTTCAGTTTTTGTAGGATTAAACAAAATATATTATGTGTTTATAAGTTGATTAGATTTTACCACAGACAGAGTCAGGCAAACTGTTTCTTTATTCATGATAGTGGTAATTCATCCCTTCTAACGACTTTTATTTTAAGGTTTTGTTAAGGCATAGTCAATAAGGGAGTAAGGCCGCCGACTACCGAGGGCACAAATGAGGTTAAGCTCCTTATTTCCGACATTTCCGCTAGCATTTGAAGGCAGCACCAGGCCCACAGCCGCAGTTGCCCACGGAGCTTTCCGGGTTCGTCAAACGGCGTGTTTCACTCATCGGCACTGGACAGGTGTTCGTCTAAATGACCGGTGTTTGAGTTGTTTGTTTTTATTCAACAGCTTTAAAATCACCATGAGAGGCCTGTGGAGTTATCGGCTCTGCTGCAGTTCACCACCCCCCAACAACAACAACAACAACAAGAGCAGAGTCAGCAGAGCGACGCGCATTATTTCTCTTGATATGTGCTTTCCTTAGGAGGGCGTAGACGTTTCAGTGTGGGTTTAAATCCCTTGCTGTTGCGATTTTCTGCTCTCACACATCGGAAACTAGCAGCGACATCCCAAGGAGGAGCGTCCGTAGGCTACCCCTGGTGTTTATTACAAGAGAGGACGCACCGCGAGTCAGAGACTGACAAGAGCAAACATGTTCGAGGCGAGAGGAATCTCCTTTGTCCTGCTGGACATAGCCTGTCTTATCATAGGTATGTATTTAAATGCCTTTTACTGACTGCGGTGGACTGTTTGTTAGTGCTTTTATTGATATAAGCCGATTTGTGACTTGATATAATCCAACTGTTTGGATATTAAACAGTTTACCATCACGTGAAGGGAGTGGTGAGCAGATTGTAACCCGCAACTGTGCCTTGGTGACAACAGTTTTATTTTAACCTCTAACATTAATGGTAGCACTAACCAAACAATATGTTTCTGTCATTTGCAACATCTGTATGTCTGTGGGTAGGTTGCTACATATGTTTCTGTTAAGAATGACATGCTCTTTGTTTCCATTGTATGCAAATTAGCGATCAGATGCTGACAAACATCTAGGGGCTAAACAAATTATGCTATTTTGTAAGTGCAACAATGTTTAATAATGCATTAGATACACTAACACTACAATCCCCAGCATTATATTCAGTATACTGAAGTACTTGCCTAATTATATAATGTTTCCATAATTAAAGGTTCTATTTTGTGCCTCACTACTGTTTAATTTTCTCATAGTCCAATTCTAAGTCCACATATGTGCCTGATTTCTCATTTAAACCAAACATTTAACAGTTTTCTAATAGTATCTCAGCAATACCTTGAATTAATATCTTATAAATTGGCCTTACTATCTTTCTCTGTTTTTAAACCCACTGACCAGCACCTACATTTTCTGGTTCATGTGACCACACATCTTTCCCTCAAATGGTCTAAAATCACTTCAATGCAGGGTACTTGTACTCATATCAGGTCTGAAACTGTATTCAGATTTAAATATGTGTAAACTACAGTATATCAGTTCATTTTACCAGTCATTATCTTACATAGGGATGCACCAATTTCACTTTTTCAGTCCTGATACCGATACAAATAGCTGGGCGTAAAGTACACTCATAATTGAATTGAATAGATCGACCCCCTTGTCACCAATACCTGATCCAGATATTTGAGTCAGTATCTGCTGATATCACTATCAGATCAGTGCATCCCTAATTTTACATTTAAAACCACTGTGAAAGTGTGGTGACACTTTTGAAATGTCTTAATTTTTCTGTATATTGGATTGAATGTATAATTGTATGAGTAATATATATGCCTTTTTATGTTTTTAGTTTTATCACTGGGACTTTACTGCTTTTTCAATCTGATTATGAATGATTGATTACTTTCCATCCTAATTGTAGGGTTAAATTGACAAATTGACTTTGTTTCAGAGATCCCCTCCAGACACGTTTTAAAACATACAAATGCTCTGCTTGGAATAATAATTTGTGTCTAATATGGTTTTTCCACAAAAATGTTCAACTACCTATTTCTAAATTCTTAAAATGACATTCACGCTAGTGCTTCCAGAATCTGTGAATATGCAAATACTGTTTGTTTCGTGAGTGCAGGGGGGGCATTAAAATATTGCTAAACCTCTAAGACTACAGACTTATTTTATATTGCACAATGTTGTAAGTGCCTTAAAGCCAAACGTGTGCAGCAAGACACAGCATGACTGTACAGTCAGTGTACTGTTCTGAGAACTGATGCAGAAGCAAACTTGAGTATTCTGCTAATGGCACAGACTATTAAATTATAGAAAAGCATCCAGGCTGAGGCTGTTTCCATGTCATGCACTGCTGTATACTAAACATGCGCGTGTAGTGAGGTTTAGCTCGTAAGAATACCACTTGAGAAGTGTGAGAACTGAGATAGTATTAATTTTCTGAAGAGCATAATGTGCAGGGAGAGATGATATTTGTCCTGGTTTGCCGAGACAGCTCATTTAATTTGTTTTTAACAAAATTACTGAGCAGGCTGCTCAGGCTGAGTCTGGATAAAAGGATAAAATGTTACAAAATACTTAACGTGTATTCTAAATACATTAAATTATTCACATTTTTCTTGGAAAGTCTCTTAGTCACACAGTTATAGAAATGAGAACAAGTTAAGTCCAACACTGAACTCTTGTGACTTGGGGGTCCTGTCATGTGTGTTTCTGTCCTTACTTTCTGGCATTTCCAGCTGTTGTAGCCAGTCAACTTGGGATGGCACAGCTGACAGTGTCAACAGCTGCAGACATGACAGACAGAACAGAAATACCAGACAGAATTAAAAAGTAGTTTATAGGTAGTTTGTGGGTGAAAGTATATCTTGCGTATTCTGCCATTTTGCGGCTTGTTACTATGCATTACAGCTCAATAATGGTCCCTCAAATGTCTTCTCCCCACTATACAATGGGCTAAACAGGCCAAACAACCAGAGAAATGACAGCGGCATTTCATTCACACTTTGAACTGTCAAAACCTATTAGCATAATCAGTCGTCTTTATGGTATTCTCTATAGGGAGCGCTTAGCTATGTCCACAGCTCCTTTCACACCAATGTGAGTCAGTGCTCCAACTAAAAAAATCTTCTCAATGCCCTCTGCTGAAAAACTGCCCAAAGATAACAGAATTTGTTGTTGTGATGAAGTCACTGCTGTTGAGTGTGCAATGAACAGTGTTGAGCTCAGTAATTCAGTGTTCAGGGGCTCACTGTCAAAGGATATGTCTGGTAATATATTCTGTTTTTCTTATTGTGAACAAATTTCATGAAAAACAAACAAAACTAACAATGATTTGATGCTAATAGCAAGTATTGTCTATGTAACTTATTCTTTACGTACCATGAGCTTCATTGTTGTCTGAAAGCTATTAAAAAAAACAAGAATGAGCCACACTGGATGACATGTTCAGGCCAAATTCAATGCTGAAAATGGTGCCAAATAAATGCACAATTTTCTCCCGTTTGATAGATATATACAAAATTGTGAGATCTGTTTCTAAGGATTAAATTCTTCAGCAGCAACATATCTGCTTGGGTTTGAGTGTAACGTCTTGATAAGCATTGTTGGTTTTGGTCTTTTCATTGAATTTAATGACAATGTGAAAAGAAAGAATAAAGCCAGTCTTATTCTTCCTTTAACTAGACTGCTAGAAAGGTTGGGATCTCTCATTTCTGTCACAAAGATTTAATTTGGCACGTGTTCATTCACTTCTGTCTGAAAGATGACAGATTTGAAGACCTCAACACTTTGTTTTGGCGCCCTTACTTTCTTTTCCATGCTTTGTTTTTCCCCCTTTGACCTCTTCCTCCCGATCTCTCTGTCAACAGGAGGCCTGCCTCTGGCAGCCTTTAACCTGGGTAAGATCCACCCCTTTCAGAGGGGCTTTTTCTGTAACGACGACAGCATCATGTACCCTTTCCACAAGAGTACAATCACCTCCACAGTGCTCTACACTGTGGGCTTCGCGCTGCCCATTAGCTGCGTAAGTAGGAGCCACTCAAGGCAGGTTCAACAGGTAACGCACGACCTGTCCCATGGCAAATATGTTGACTTGTCAACCGAAGGAGTAACTTATAACTTAAATGCATTCCAAGGTGTGGCATGGCCGTGGCTCTGGTATGATGGTTTACTGGCACACCTACATGGAAAGCATTTGTGCTTTTCCTGCGACGGCAAGTCAAACTGTCTGCTGTGACAAAAGGTCTGTTGGGACCAACACGTTTCCAGTGCGTAATGTAGGATATATATTCAAAATGGCTAGCTATACAGATTATGATTTCAGTTGTTCAGTAACTGTTGTATTAGCACCGCTACATCTTATTGAAATCCGATATGCACAATATTTTATGTAGTTCTGATGCTGTTTCTTACCTCAGTGTGAGGCTTTTGACATGTTCAACAACATCAGCTCTTACAGTAAAAGGCAAAGGAGGATGTCCACTTAAAACAATTAATACAAAATAAATCAGCCTGAGTAAATGTTGAACACACAAACACAAAAAACAGTCCTATAGCATATTTCTTTTACCAAAATCTGAGCTACAGCAGAATTTGAAGCAGTCTGCTGCTACAAATAGCAGTTTATGGTGATTTTAATCACCTTAAAGGTCAAAGTTTAGTTTCCAAACATCTTGATTATTTTTAATTGAAACAGTTCATCAAAAGAACCACTAATTAATTTAGCCATGGCTTTTATGAATTAGCAGCATATGATTTTTACTTACTACATATAATCAAATATGGATTATATGACGTAATGTCAGCCTGGCTTTTTTAGGCTTTTGATTTAATCATTTTGTTTTTAGCGTCAGTCTATTGGATGAACTTCTATAACTGTTGTTAATTAGTGCAACAGACATGCAGGCTGCGTGCTGCATCGCTCTGTTCCTTAAAATAGCTGGAATGCTTTTCTGGAACAGAGCAATTGTTTTTTTGGAGATCGACAGGCAAGACAGGGCTTCTGGTGTGTGTGTGTGTGTGTGTGTGTGTGTGTGTGTGTCAGTGATTTATCTTTTCCTTCATCGTGAGTGATTATAATCCCAATCTGTTAATTATGGTCTTAAATGTTATTGTTTAAGTTTTAACAACTCACTTCATTGTTCACTGTGTGCCAAAGGAAGGTGAGAATATGTGGGAAGTTATTAGGGAGAAGTGAAGTGTGTCGGTTTGCCAAAAAGAAAAGAGGAGTGTGAGGTGTGTTTCGGTCACGCAAGGGCTCTGTGAGAGCGCTATTTCTTCTCTTTGTGAGTGAGAATTTAACAATGGGAACTAAAGCCACTCAAGAAACACAATGATAAAACACATGCTCTAATGTTTGACTTTTCTGTATTAACATCCACTCCTCATCAGCATTTAACTCTCTGATGCCGTGCGTACACTTTAACCATTAAAATTTGCATGCTGATGTTCCTGAAAGTTGCTGAGGACGCCAGTCGCTGCCATGAGAGGATGCAACATGTGGTGTGGCCCTCTCACACTGCTTTGCATTGGCACACAGTGTTGCATCATGGATAGGGGATCGAGGCCCAGTGACATGATTTTGTAACCTGTATTTTTTTCCCCCTTGTTTTCTCTCTCATTGCCTCTCTGCTAGCTGGACTCCCATTTGTAATACTCAATCTGAAACACACCCCTTTCCGCCGAGGCTTTTTCTGTAATGATGATTCAATCAAGTACCCCCATAAAGAAGACACCATTACCTATGAGTTGTTAGGAGGTGTTATGATTCCCGTCACAATCCTCACTGTAAGTGGCATCTGTTTTGTTTTCTGCTAACGTGTCTCTTTTATACTTGCATCCTTTACGTACTGCTTAACTTGATCCACTCCTAACTTCTCTTTCTATCTCTTTTCTTTGAATCCATGGTTGCTGCTAAACACATTATTATGTTATAATGTGTTAATGTTTTAATTGCTTGCATAAGCCACCACTTCCATTAACTAAGTTTGTTTGCTAACTACATGCTGTCGAAAAAGTTTGTAGTTTTCAAAATTCTGTAACATTTGAAGATGAAACAGAAAGGTGACCAGTGTGGCTGACTTTTATTTTGAAACTTACCAGCTATGAATACGTCTCCAGCGGAGAGACTCCGTATATAAACACTGAAAATATCTTTATCAGTTTTTTTTAACTTTAGAAAAAGCTTCGATGCTTCAGGTTTCATCTTCAAAAAGAATTAAAACACCACAGTAAGAATAGACACTTATGCTTAATCAAGACCTAATCTTTTGTGACCCGTCAAGAGTAGCTCTTAGTTCACCTATTGAAAGCTTTTACAGATACAGGTAGCAGAGCGGTAGCAATAAAGGCCCATCAGCAGCCTTTTGTGAGACAAGTGTAAGTCCTGTTACAACATTGTCTTGCACCTCAACCACAACATTCAAACAAGAGGACTTCATGATTCATTCCTCCGACTTATACAGTATGAACACATACAAGCTCAGATATGCAAAAATGTTTTACTATTGGATCTATTAAGGAGGATTTATTTTCAACTTTTAGATCAAACTAAATTATATATGTTTATTATTTTAAGTGGACATCATCCTTTGGCCATGATACTTTGAACCATGTGTGTTATCTCAGAATGGATCAGTAGGTAGAAACACTGCCAATTCTGTCAAAACAGCATCTATAATGTTATGGAGAGTGTACTTAGTTAGACATTTTGGAAAAATAAGCTTATTCACTTTCTTGCTGTGAACTTGATTAAATACATTAAATATGAAGCTACAGCCGGGAGATGGTTGGCTTAGCGTAAAGACTGGAAGCAGGTGGAAACGGCTAGCCTGGCTCTATATCTAGTTTGTTTAATTCGTTAAAAAGCTAAAATGGTGTGGGTTGGCAGATTTTGTTACCCTCCAACAGATCCATTCTTGCGGTTTCCCCCCAGTTTTCAATTTTTATGCTATGCTAAGATAACTGGCTGCTGGTGGTAGTTCCTATTTAGCATACAGACAAAGCAGCTGTGTCGATCTTTGCATCTAACTCACAGCAAGAATGTGTGTGTATATCCACCAAAAGTCAAACTATTCCTTTAAATGCTGTTTCACAAACAGAGAGCTTTTTGTGAAATTAGTGTAATTGGCAGAGTTTTTTTTAACCAAACCCATTATTTAGATCCAGTATTTTAGGGTTTATTGCTGACTCTGATGTTATAGATTTCATTCAGTTGCACCTTTAATTTTCATTTGGGGTCTTGTATTTCTGTATACACCTCTAACTCTATCCTTCCCCTCCCCCTTACAGATGATCATTGGCGAGTGCCTTTTAGTTCATCTAAAGCGCATCAAATCCAAGTCCTCGTTCGGCAGCTACATTGCCTGTGTTTACAAAGCCATCGGTACCTTCCTTTTCGGCGCTGCCATGAGCCAGTCTCTGACCGACATTGCCAAGTATTCTATTGGCCGGCTCAGACCACACTTCCTGGATGTGTGCAAACCTGATTGGACACGTATCAACTGTTCATCAGGGGCTTATATTGAAGACTTCCCCTGCACTGGAGACCCGACGAGTGTCACTGAGGGCAGGTAGGTTTTGTTATAGCTCCAAACTTGTTTCTTTTATAGCATTCAGAAATGGATGGATGAATAATTGGAAGGATGGATAACAATTTTTTAGCAAACGCTTGCTGCTTCCAGCTGTGAAGATTCATATTTGATTGTAAACAGAATATTTTGGGAGTTTTGAACTGTTTGTAAAATAAAACAAGCTATTAAAATAGATCACTTTAGGCTGTGGGAAAAGTTCGAGTTTTATTTTCAAAATGTAGAATGACAAAATACACACAAACACACACAAACCTGGCATGAAAGGTGTTGTATTAATTTCTGAGAGGATATGTGATATATTTGAGTGAGAAGCAGCTATTCACTTCCAAAAACGATCTAGCTATGAGAGGATGGGAACTTCCACACCACCGCTATGCACTTTCTGGCAATGCACAAAGCCATTTCTAAAAACCGCTTAAAAGGTTCTTGAATGTGCATTAATGGTTGTACAATTCCCCAATAAGCAAATTTGCGGATCTAATGTGAAGGTAAATCCTCTAAGTTATGTCATAATGTCACAGAAGTCGTGCCACAAGGTATTAAGTTTTTTACACAACCAGGTGCAATGCAAAAACAAGCCCTCCACTAAGCCACATTTAAAACACACATTTGATATCTCAGGTTTGTATTTATGCAATCTCTGTGGTGTGTAAATTAGTGAAGAAAGTTATAATGGATCAATCTGTGTCCAGCAACAACAACCGAACAACAAATCGAGCACGGAATCGTCCGATTACTCGACGATATAATACTGATTAATTGCAGCCCTTTGTGAAAGAATGAATAAAGTGGTTCATGATTTCAGATGTTTTGCTGTTGAAATGGCTCCACACTAAACTTGCAGCACTCTTATGTTCTTGTTTTCTTGCTCAACAGATTAACAAATTCTGACAGAAAAAGCCCTCAAACGTCTGCACTCTGTTTTGTAATATGCTCGTGGTGTTGGTACAAAGAGCAAAGGTTAAACATGTCTCTAAACAACCTATGAATGATTGTCTAATTCATAATGGTGATAAAACCATTATGCCATGCCCCTGTGAACATTTAGTTTCTAATAAATATCTGCACACAGGTGACATGCAGACAGTGTTTTTGGCAAGATGCAGTTTGAACCACTTGCAGCACACGAAACCAGAGACACGGAGAGATTGAGAAATAGCAGGAATGTAAAGCTTGTTATGATTTAGCTCTATCCCTTATCAGCGCAGAGCAGCAGGAAGTATAGAGGGAGGAGAGGATATCCACTTCTCATTCTGGTGTAGGCACGAGCAGCAAGACCTACGGTAATAATAGAAGCAGAGGCCTAAATAGTGACAAAAAGCTGTGCCCAGTGTTACCAGTGTGGATTTATTATGCGCTATGAGGGACATCTACTTTAGTCTCTTCTGTTCAACTTTACTTAAATGTAAAGTAGGTCATTCTGCTTATAGGTTTGAGTGTTTGTTGTTTCCCTGAGCTGCATCCTTTGAATAAGAGCTAGAGTGGAAATATGCCCACCCACTACCTCTCTGTCCTCTGGGTTATCTACCGTACAATTTCCAGTGTGTGGTGTACAATGTTTCTGGGAGCTTCATTACTACTCTGCAGTTTATCTTATAATGTAGCATAATGAAGGAAACATTAACAGCAGGATAAGAGGATAAGGCAGATATCAGGGGTTTTTAAGATTAATGTCAGGACACATTATATTTCCAGCTCCCATGTGTGTGTTTGCGATGACCTGCTAATAAGTGCAGCAGGAGAGGAGAGAGCAGTAGCCTGCGCAGGATCATTTTACTGTAATATGATTCCTCATTGGCTTAGTCTCACTTCTCTATGAGATTCAAGGGCCTACTGTGAGCGGCATGTATGTTTGTTTGCATTTAAGAAGATGGCCAAGTTATTCAAAGGTTGTGTGCGTAATAAAAAAATATTACTTCTCTTCCAGATGGATTCTATTAATGTACAATGAGCCGAGGCCACACAGGGTGCGACCAACCTGCAATTTGAATGTGATGCCACAGAGGTTTTTATTGCAGTTGCCAGTTGGGCTTTGTTACCAAGGCGTGTTTGAGTCTGGATTGTCCTCTGCCAAAAATTAAAAATAATTTTTTTTTTGGTCACAAAGACCAGAAAGGCGCTAAACAGAGAGTACAGAACATTTACATTTACACAGTCGCTTTAAAAAGAACAAAGTTTTAAATACATCAAACTTACAACGTGATCTGTCAAGCCATGTTATATGGGTCATGCACTGGTAAGTTGTGAAGCAGCTTGCTGCTTTGTGCAGCTGTGTACATAAATCACTGCATCATCAGCATATAGCTGGATCTCTACATCACGACAAACCTAAGGCAAGTCATTAACATAAAGGTTGAACTACAGTGCAGCCAATCTATAAAATCTTGTAGAACACCTGCATTAATTTTATAATCAGTTGACTTTTATGTGAAATATGAAAGATGATAGACTTTATTTGTCTGTACAGCAGGTTTACTGTTGTATAACTTTGCTGAGTAAAAACCCAGAACCCATATTTTTTCATCAATCCATATTTGAGATTGAAGTCATTTCTAGTGCTTAACCTGCAAAGTTATCTGGATAACTCAATAGCAGCAGGTCGTTGGTTCACACTGCTGTCCAGACTCTGAAATACACATCTTATTCTACACCGTGAAGCACCCGACCTTTCATCAAGTGTCAGAGTGGAAAAGCACACCAAATAAGCAGGTGTACATTATTAGACTGTGTGTGTGTGTGTGTGTGTGTGTATCCATGGCTGCTGCTGTAGACATGGTCCATACAACAGTATAAAAACATAGCACTGTTATTATAAACAGGAAGTAACTAAGGCGGGGAGGAAGGACTGGAGGGTCTGGTGTCCACCACACCCCTCTACATCAGTCTCAATCCCTAAATGAGGGTGTGCCAGGATGCGGTGGTGTGTGGGTTTGTGTGTCTGACAAATGGATGTAATGATGTTTCTTTTCATGTGTGTTGATCTGGGCTTTTGTCTTTCCGTTGCAGGCTTTCCTTCTATTCCGGCCATTCCTCTTTTTCCATGTACTGCATGCTGTTCCTGGCTGTAAGTACCTATATCAGTTACATATTGATCTGCAATCACGTGGATCAGTGTTTACTGGAACACTGTGCTCAAAGCAGGGTTCGTACAAAGTTTGGAAACTGCTTAATTTTCAACATCATCCGGTGTTTATCAAAGTCTGGAAATCTTTTGTTTAGGTATTTCCCAAAATATCAAACTATTGCTTTAAATACAATGCAGCCAATTGCATGTTAGCGTAGCATAAAGACTCAAAACAGGGGAAACAGCTAGCCTGTGCTGTCCAAAAAACAAAATACACCTACAAACACCTAAAGCTCACTAATTATGACGTGTTTCTCATTTTCTCATATTGTGTTATTACCTTAGGACAGAACCCGGCTAGCTGTTTCTCCCTGTTTACAGTCTTTATGCTAAGCTAACAGTCTTGTGGCTGTGGCTTCATATTATCAGACGAAAGTGGTATGGATCTTCTCATCTAACTCTTGGAAAAGAGTGAATAAGCACATTTCTGAAAGGTTATTCCAGGTTATCATCAGTAGCAGTGTTGTGCACAGAGAAATGCAGCATCTCTAGTTCTTATTTTACTGCCCAGCCCTGATCCACTTTATGAGCTGCTGATTCATTGAGCACCAGCAGATATAAATAGACAAAGGGAAAGAAGTGCGTCAGGGGTCAGGATGAAGCAGCTAAACTTGTTTGTCCTTGAATAAAACGAAAAACAATAGAACTGTTTTTAATACACAGTTAAGTTGTCTGGTTTGTGCCACAACAGACATCATGCCCCAGCGGTGGTGTGATATTTAATTATCAGATTAGATTTTGGATACTGTTCTAGAGAATAAACAGCCTACTATATGTTGTACTGTTCCTTCTATCAGTGAAACGTGCAGGAGAGTTTCTCACCTTTTAAAAGACAAAAGAGGAAATAAATAGTAGAGCTGATAACTTGGTGACATAAAGAGGATTTTTGTTTAATTCAGGAACATTTTATAATCCTTCCCTGCATGATAGGTTTGTCTCTACTGTGGTAATGGAAGAGTCATCTACAAATCACTGCTGCTCAATTTCCTGCCACCCTTCCAGGAATGTTGCCCACAGTAGCTGTGTATTTTAAAAGCATGCCTCGTCTTTCTCAGCTGTACCTGCAGGCTCGACTCCAGGCTGAATGGGCGAGGCTACTGAGACCGACAATCCAGTTTTTCCTGATTGCTGCCTCAGTCTTCACAGGATTGTCCAGGGTGTCCGATTATAAACATCACTGGAGTGATGTGCTGACTGGACTCCTGCAGGGTGCCCTCATGGCAATCCTGGTGGTAAGTGATGTGTCTTAATCTTACTTTACCTTTAAAAGGAAAAGTTACACTCCTTTTCTTTATTTTTGGGCATTTTCAGCCTTAATTTCATAGTTATAGTGGAGACAGAAATAAAGGGAGAGCAATTTGAGCATTCCATTTTTTGGATAAATGATACAATTAAACGACAATCAGGAGATGTTTAGCTTAGCATGAAGACTAGAAGCAGCGGTAAACAGCTTAGGTCTGGTCTGCTAGCAGGTATCTCTAAAGCTCAGTAACTAACGTGTATCTCATTTGTGTAATGCAGATAAATGAAATGTATAAAATGATTATCTGTGGTTTTACAAGGTGTTCCTTTTCTTAAAATGAGTTAATCCAGGAGCGACAGAGGTGCTGGTAGACAGATTTTTTTACCTTTAGTCAGAGCTAGGCTAGCTATTCTCCTGTCTTCAGCATATTTTGCAAAGTGGCAAACAATTCCTCAAAGTGGTTACTTGGTTCATCGCCCTTGAGTAATGTTAGTAGCACAGAAACAAATAATTAAGCCCCATTCCTATGTATGCCTTTTTTGAAATTCTCTCCCTATCTTGCAGGTCTTCTTTGTGTCTGACTTTTTCAAGCCACACAAAGAGTCCCATAAAGAAGAGGACATCCCGCACACAACCCTGCAGGAGACCCCAACAAATGGAAACCCACTTTGAGAGTCCCAATTAAGCTAATCAACAGGTGGAGGATGATACCTCTGCTCTGTCCCAAATGCACACCCTCCAGGATCCCAGCTCTCTAGCCTTTCATCTCATGCCAATTCCCAATCGACACCCTGCATGGATTTACACTGTACTTGATTTTACTTCAAGGAAGAAAGTGGATGACATGTGCATCACCCAGAAGTAACCTTTGGAAGCTACACCTCAGGACTGTTCAGATTTTAAAACTTTATAATTTTAGGTAATTTGCTGTCTTGTCCACCAATTCTCCACCTGGAAGGAAAGTGTTGAGACTACCTGTCCAAGCCTCATAGGTTAGGGGCTAGAGATTCTGTAAGGACAGGAGCCATTAAGCATGTATCTACTGAGCTGGTGGGAAGACTTAACTGCAGGCACCCACTCAAGGGTCTGACCACTGCTGAGAGAGAGAGGAGGGTTGGAAACCTGTGAATGTAACCTCGCTTTGTGCTTTTTCCTGACCTGGAGTCAGTCTGTTCAAGGATCTGATGGGGTCAGTTTTTAGGTCGACTCCAGCACCCAGAGACACGTCTGAGTCTCATAACTGTTGCCTTAAGTCCAGTGTTAATTAAAGGGCTAATTATAAGAGGAATGTTTGCTTCTCAAGGCTTGAATGTGCTGGAGGCTATAGCTGGTCCTAAACCACTGCTTCACATCTGGAGCTGCTGACTCCAGGCCACTGCCACCTTATTCTCCAACTGTCTAACCTAATGTAGTCGAGGAGGAAGCTCGACTTTTATCATGTTTGGTTAGAGAGTTGAAGAGTAGACGGTCAGTTTAAGTCCTGTGTTGCCTTTGCTGGACTGCTGCTATCACAGCTCCATGTGTATCTAAGAACTAATAAACTCAAGTGAAGCGACAGTGTGCTTTTGTATCCTCTGTATGTAAAAACAAATCTCCATACAGATGTTTATTGAAAAAAATGTTACAAATATGTACAAATGTCTAAAATAAGAAGGAATAAAGGACAAATAAAGCCATTTTACTTATTAACATGACCACAAATGAAACATAAGTGTTATATTATGTCATGAGCTGTCACGTAGAATTAAAGCATGAATTGTGTTGTTTACTTTCTCAAATATATAAAATGTCATTTTATGCACCACTTTCTCATGTAAGCAAACATAATAAAAGCATAAATGTTCAATGTATTCTGGCCACGTCGATGTATTCACCCAAATGAAACAATGTTTACGTTGTTAGACATTCTCACCGTTAATAACGTGACTCGACAGGACGTTACAACGTTCAGGTAAGTAGTCATGATGAAAAGAATCAGAAGTGATCTGAAAGACAAATTAACTAACACGTTGGGATTAAATAGCACAATATTTGATCCCAGTGTGACAAAAAAAAAGTCAAGATGATCGGGGCTTAATCCTAAAGTGAAGCTGAAAAACAGCATTTATCCTCCAGTAGTAGCTCATTATAGGTAGAGACTGGCAGCAAATACAATGTCTCTCTTGATCTTCGTTATTCCTAGAAGACACAGAAATTAAGAGCAAATGATTCATTATTAACTTCAACAAATCAGAAGTTTAATTCCAAACGGACATCCATTTCAGAAGTGTTTCATCTAGTAAGAAGAATTTACCAAAATACATCTTGTAGTTACTTGTATAACCAGTCCATTTTCAAGACTTAACAACTGTACGTATAATCACATGGGTGAATCATGTCAAACAACATACTTAAGGTTGTGGAGCAGAAATTTACGTTGGTTGCAAGCATAACCTGAAAATCTTAACGATTATTTTTAATTGTTCATGTATCATATGGATAATGAAAAAAGGTCAGATAATGGCAGTCACCATGTTCCAGGTGTCTGAGAGTCCAAGGTTACGTCCAACCAACAGTCCAAAACCCAAAGATACTCAGTTAAGTGTCACAGAAGACTAAGAAACCAGCAAACATTTGAGAGGTTTAAAGCAGTGAATTTGTGATTTTGCTATTAAAAAAAATGGCCTTAACGATTGCCAATTAATTTCCTGTTGAATTACTAATTGTTTCAGCTCTAATAACCCTGAGGTTTCTTACCTTCAGCAAACTTGTTCTCCAACTCCGTGTTGCCTATGGCCTTGGCTGCAGAACACATCTGTCTCAGTACCTCTTCCAGACGGCGCATGCAGCGGATGATGCTCCCTGCACAGCACAGACACAAATACACCCCAATCTATTTTTGAAAACTATTTACTGCCAAATTCCAGCATTAATTCACATTGAGCGTCTGAATAAGGACATCTTGGAAGAATGGTTTTGGCCATGGATCAATCTTAGTATCCTCAGTAACAACTAATTTCTTGAACTTGACGAACACTCCGGGTTTCTAGCAAAGAATGGTATGTCACTTGGTACTACTAATAAGGAACAGAGAGACAGTGTTAAAGTGGTACACTTCTAATTACTGAATTCTGTGATTCTAGCCTAGACAGTCTTCAGTCAGTGCAATTTGTCAATGGGCAAACATAAATTAACATGTATGGAGAGTTTTGTATCCAATAATAAATAGGTAAGTAAATCAATAATTAATTAACATTTACGTTGGTATAAAATGGAGCATTTCTTTCAAGGAAATTCCATTTCTCCCATTAATAAGTGACAAAATGACTATTTGAGAAAAATCCCCAGAACATTATTAGAAAGTTACAGACCTGTAATTTAAATGAATAAAGGAGTTAGAATTGATGAAACCCGTAAACTCTCTCTCTTCACCAACACACGATTTCATCTCATACTCAAGTTTCTCAACTCTGCAGTTACTTTCTTAGAACGATGACATCTAATATTTTACAGCTGAGGTCATTGTTGGGAGTCAGAGACACAAACTGTGGGGAGAATTGATGTAACTTGGTTTTAATCAACCCACACATAATAAATCAATAAGTGATCCTTTAACAGCCTCCCAGTGACTGCACTGGATTTGTTAAGGCCATATTGTACTTTGGCAGCGGTGGAAGAAGTATTCAGATCCTTTACTTGGGTAAAAGTATTTACAGCAAAACGTACAAAAATTATTAGAAGTACTTCTGTACTACATCTTCAGTACTTCATCTGTAGAAAAATGATACTTACTGCTGCACTGATGTGTAAACAACACTGACTTCGTAGCTGGTTGAGGTGGAGCTGATTTTAACTACTTTTTACAGTTAGCTAGTTTAGTCAAGTGGATCCCAGCCTAGGGGTCGAGCCCCTCCAAAGGGTCATAAAATAAATAGTGAGATGATAATTGAGGCATTAAGAAGAAAGTTCTGCTGTCTAAAGTCATTTTTTAGACTTCTCTCTAATCTTTGTTTTTTGGGGGAAATAATGAATCATTTCACCTCTTTGATCCTTGAACAATGAGCCTTTTTGGGGGGAAATATTGGATACTTTTGCTTTTGGTCCTTGAACGATTATTTAAGTGTAACATGAAGAGCACTTAAAAACAAAACTCCACAACTCCATAATTCCATCTGGAATGTAGTACAGTACTTAAGTAAATGTACTTAGTTACTGTCCACCATTCTACCTCTGCGAGATTCAGTTAAAGGCTTGTCGTACCTTCTTTAACATTTTGTTGATAAAATAAGTTTCTGGCCATATATTACACATTGTACATTTAAGGAAAGTTCAACACCTGTATTTTAACTTCCTGTCATGTCTGCTGGATAATATGAATGGCGCACCTTCAAAGACATCAGTCATCTTGCAGATTTGAGCAAATGTGGCGCCGTTAGCCCAGGCGTACACTACATCCATCAGGTGGGGCTTAAACTGGTTTAAATACGTCTCCTCGTCCACCTCCAGCTTGGCGTCTGCAGAAACCTTGGCTATGCGCTTCGCACACTCCTGGACATAACAAAAACAACAGCAGCATTCACATTTTCGACAAATTCAAACTTTTAACGAAACAAATCGGGGATGGTTTTATTGTGGTCTCACCTGCATTTGTCTCAACGGAGCTGCAAGCTGTTCAGTCAGTTTTGGCATCTCGTTGGCCTGGAGGACAAAAAGAAAATGTCAAACATTTGTTTTGTAGTCTGGGTTTCAAACTACAGGAAAATAAGTTTCTATTTAGTATAGGTCAGATGGGGTTTTTAACATTCAACATTAAAACATCTGATCTGCTCGTATTTGGTAAGAAAACTACTAATTTTTTTTCTTGATTGTTAGTCACTGAAAGTTACCTACAGCAGCGTTAATTATCACCTTTTCTACATTAACACCTGCCTGGTAGTTAACCTTTGCTTTAACTTCCCACTATTAGCAAAACGAAACATTTCATTGATGAAGGCTTTCACAGGGAATGAGGCTCTGGTGTCCTTGCAAAATTTCATCATCTCTCTAAAAGGAGTAGTTCTAATTTGCTTTCTTGCCAAGAGTAAGATGGAAAAAGCGATACCACTCTCATATCTGTACTACATATCTGAAGCTGCAGCCAGCAGCTGGTTAGCTTAGCAACAAGGCTGGAAACGGTGAAACAGCTCGTCAAGCTCTGGGATTTTTTCTTGGCTACCGTTTCCCTGTTTTAAGTCTTCATGCTAAGCTAAGCAAAATGGCTTGCAGACTGTAGTTTCATGGTGATCGGACAGATATGAGAATATCGATCTTCTCATACTCTCAGCAAGATAAATAGAAAAAAAAAGAAGGAAAAAACTATTACAAGAAGTAATTTCTGTAATTGTCACATGGTAGCGACATTAAAAATGAACAAACAATAAACAAATATGTAACTAGAGCCAGATATCATTTGAATGACACCAAGTTATACTGTTAATAACTTACTTTGGAGGAATATAAAACATATTTTTCTACAAATGCCTTTTTTCCCCCTCTATTAAACAAAAGCCAACTGTCTCAAGTATTAAATGTTGTCAAATAGTATACAATTATCTAAAACAGTAAATATCTGATGGTTAACACTGTCGAATAAGTGATTGAACCTGGGAGCACTTTAATGTCAGAATACATCTGTGGTTTAAAGACAAGTTGGATGGTTTGCCGTCATCCCAAGCTAAACTAACAGCAGGTGCTCTTTAATGACAGGTGACAGCTGTACACACACACACACACACACACACACACACACACACACACACAGCGCTCCTGTAGTGGTACACATGACAGCTGCTTGTCGTTGCTCCCTCTCCTCTCTGACACAAGTAAGACATAACGAGAGTGGGAGCCGTGATTGAGTCCAGACTGAGATTTGTTGTTCTGAGGACGGAGCGGATGCAGAGCCAAAGAAAAGGTTTGTCAAACCATCTGACCCTGGATTGCCTCATTGAGAGAACAGGCTTCATTAGGCAAGACAAACACACACTAACCTCAGGTTTCTGTTTTGGTTGCAGCGCAGGGGAGGAGGCCAAGAATGCGTTTGTGGGGCTTGAATGTGTGGGAACGGGGAATCAGCCGTTTAATCTCAGTGTTTGGGGAAGGCTTAAATATCTGTTTGTATGGAGAACTGGAGGAATTATGTGTTTGTGTGTGCATTTGTTCGTACATTCTCCTGGAAGACGAAGCAGGACAGCAGGGCGGTGGCTTGTTCAACCGTCAGATCGTTGAAGAGGCCGTTGAAGATCATCTCCGTCAGAAGGAGCTCATCGCCACTAGAAAGATTCACACACAGAGTGAATTATTACAGTATTACTTTATTAAACAGGATCTGATTTATTTCTTCCTTGTTCTATTCAAGTAATAACTGTGCAGAACTGTGGCGTGGGTGCTGGAGTGAGTAAGGATAGGCGAGAGCAGATGTACCCTCATGCTTCAGGCCTGGCAGGACTCACACTTAACTACACCCTAAACCACAATCCATGCAACATTTCACCATCCAGATTCACTGTCCGTCTCATCAATAGACAAATCTGGGCTGCAGATGGAAGTAGAAAAACCGCCATTACTGCGGTGGCACCTCGCAACAACGAACAGACTTTGGAGCCACAACCCTTTGCTCCATTAAATCAATTTTACTTTCCTAAATCTCCATTTAATATTAAACTGCCCTAAAAGACTTATTTGTCACTTCAGAATACAACAAAAGTTAAGCAGCTATATTATATCTATATTTACACAAATTGTTTGCTGGGTGCGTGCTCTATCCTTCCCTACCTGCTAATTTCACAGGCAACCCGCCCTTTCATCTCGATGACATCAGAGGGGCTGGCGAAGCCGAGGCGTCGCAGAACTCTCTTCCTGCACTTCAGCTTGTCCATCTGCAGGACGGTCCGAGCCTTCTTCAGCTCTCGCTTGGCGGTTCGAACGTCTGCTGCGATCTAAAAAACACACATGTGTTGTTATACAACAAAACCTTCACCTTCAACTTGGAGAGACGCTCTTCCAGGGTTTCTAGAAAATACTTCATAATTATTAAGTGCACTGTGAGTACTACTAGCTGTTTTGTGCATGAGATCATTTCTAACACTAGATTAACTGTCACAGCGATGGAGTGGAATATTTGAGTTATCTGCCAACAGATGTTCTTCTGTCTGCTTGTCTGTCCTCTGTGATGTCCATTATCCACTAACCTCAGGGCCAAAGGAGCAAACACATGCACAAAGAGATTTCACCAACATTGCTTATTACTCAAAAAACATACATTTAAATTTCAGTAAAAATTGTAGCCTCATTTCTGGTGGTTACATGGAAACTGTGAAGAAATCTATCATACGTGCACACGAAAGCAGGAAAATTCAGACTTTCGAATTCCACAAAAAACAATTATCAAAATGAATAATGTTTTAGCTTTACTCTACATGGTATTAAATGAGGAATGAAACTTAAGCAGCCATGATGTGTTGTGTTAGAGAAATGTGAAGGCCAAAGTGGAGGTCAGCTGCTGAGGCTGAGGATTTATCTACCACACAAACAAAGCAATCCAGTTTACGCTGTACTGTATCCCCCATCATTTCACAACACACACACACACACACGACCACGGAGGGATGTAAATGTTTATGCAAATCGTCAACGACAGTCTGATTTGCTTTTTCTCCACCCACTGGTAAAAGTCTGGGCGTTTTGCATCTATCGCGCTGTGCATTTGTAACCCCCCGATGTGAGGTTGTTTTGAACAGTCTGACTCGGTCCTTGATCATTCAGTAAAGCAGAGCACACAGATGTAGAAATGTGAATGCTGTGCTGAATCATGAACAGAATTTATTTTAATCTGGATCAGCTGTAGAATTTTATTTTGAAATGTACAACACACAATCACTTACACTTACATTATATTTGCTATTTTTCCTATTAAAGTATTGCCGATACTATAATGGAACTGTATGTTCTAATGTCACACTTTTCTGAAAAGGGGTGTCTTTTAACAGGAAGTGTAGCCATTCTTATTTCACAAGCTGTCTATGTTGTATTTCCACAAGATTTTCTTCTTCTATTTATTCTGAACTTTTCTCGCATACGCATGTCAGTCTGTTGGTCAACCACTTTGGTCCAGACTGAAATATCTCAACAGCTATTGGGTAAATAGCCATGCAATTTCATACAGATGTTCATTGATTTTAATTATCTATATTTCTTTTAATTGTATTTTAATTTCATAACTTTCTTTCTGCTTTTACTGTTTATCTTATTTTGTTTGCTGTGTTTTATTTTCTTTGCTCTTGTGAAAGCACTTTGTAACATTGTTTTGAAAAATGCTCTGTAAAAAAAAAATTCAAATCAATAAATAAAGATTATTACAGTGCCCAGATAATGGATCTTACTGACCATAACCCTGACCTTTTCATGTCCCCCTCAGCCCTATCATCAGGTCAAAAATGTGTCCAATACTTTGGTTTAGGACCAAATATTTAAAAACCTAATGGCATTCCCATCCTTCCAGTTGGACTCATGAATGTTGGCATGCTAACACATAAAACTAAGCTGTTGAACATGTTAAACATTATACCTCCCCTTAAACATCCGCATGTTAGCACTGCCATTGTGAATATCTAGCTCAAAGCATGGCTGTGCATAAGTACAACTTCACAAAGCCCCTAGCATTGCTGTAACTCCTAGTGTTGTGGCTACGTAGATATGTCAAGTTACTTTGAACAACTGATAATGTGAATGTGTTGATATTTTAGTGTTTTAGAGCTGATGGGCTGCTGTAAAGCTTGCACTGTTGAGACTCGTGGTGTTAGATTTAAAGAGACCCTGCCTGTTTTGCTTCTCTAAAATGACAGGTATGCATGATAGGTGTGTATTTTGGTTGTTCCTTTATTTCATGACAGTTGTATCTACTGTTTTATTATACATTACTTCTCCCTGGGAAGACACAGACAGAATTTAAGCAAGACAGACACTGAATGTTTTTTCCCCCGTCTATAGTTGCAGGAAAGTTGTTGCTGCCTTGCAATAAAGTGCTGAAAGACAGGAAGTGTAGTCATTGTTTGCTATACAACACACTGCAGAGATAAACCCACTCCACGGATACTTGATTTCTTTCTGTCTTTGTCTGCATGAATATATATGGCCGCTACCGACGTGTCTGGCAGGATAAGACAATTGAAGGTCAATGATTGTGATCTAACAAAAGGTAGCCAATGTAGATAAAAGGAAAGATAAAAGTAATTCATATTTCAATAGTAACAACTGTGACCTGTTGTTCACAAATGGTTGACTTTTAGTAAGGTTTGATATTTTTCTTACGCTGACATTTAACTCTCCTACAAACTGAAAGACACACACATCCAGTTTCTTACCAGAGCTTTCTTCTCACACAGAGAATAGACAGATTCCAAATTGGGGTCACTGTGCAGGGGGTGGGAGTACATGCGGTGCTCGAAGGCCTCCACTTTCTGAATAACTTTCTTCAGTGCAGGGTCTTTGATGCCCATGTCATCTATGGGGTCGAGCAGAGGAACGCCATCTGGGAAACGTTTCTGTACCTCCTGCACACAAAATGTTTGGAGGGAAAGAAAAGAAAGAGCAACAATTTATAATCAAGGTCTTTCTTCAGTTCTCAATATTTGCTTCAAGATGGCTGCATTTTGTACCTGTATAGACTTCAGCATGAGCTGTCTGTTGTCAAAGGGCCTCAGGTCTTTGGGGATGTAAAGGCGAACTGAGCTGATAGATGTCAGGAGATGGAGCATCACTGGGACCACCTAAACAAAAGATTAGAGTTACCGTATTCCTGACTACAGAGACATATAGTCTTATTTTTGTATGCAATATGCATTTAAGTGTGTTTTTGTGTGTCTGTTGCACCCACCTGCATCTCTCCAGTCTCCCCTGGAGCAGCAGGTTTAGCAGCCTCAGTCGCAGCATCTTTTACACTGTCTTTACTACAGTGGACCAAAACCTCCACCACGTACAGCGGCTCTGAGTCTGTGCTGGCCTAAATGGGGAAATGCATATTAGTCACAACCATGTGTAAATGGACTCACATACATGTGACACTATGACACGACTTACCTTCACATTAGACTTCTTGCAGAAGTTTACAACAACTCCCCAGCCAAAGTCAGTGTCGTCATTTTTTACCTGTGGGGGTGAAAACAAAGAGCCATTAAATGACATGGTGAAAAATCCATAATTAGTGTGCTGTTGTCAAACTGTACTTGGGTGAAGCTCTACCTTGACAAGTCGCCCGGGCTGTAAAAAGGGCAAGCAGTATTTGGGTTTGTGGGTGAACTCCTGTATCTCTTTACCCAGTTTGGCCAGCTGCTGCCTGATTTTAAAGTAAGTTACCACACCCTCTTCGTTGGGAATCTCAATGGCGTGGTACTGCTCCTCATACTTCTTAATTTCTGCACAGAAAAAAAAGTCAGCAACATGAAACTAGGCCACAACCGGACAGTCAATGTTATTTTATCCAGTGAAAAACATTTCTTGGAGGCTTTCTACACATCGACCTCTTGACATGGAAAATGATTAATTAACTTATTTTGGAATCAGTAACATAACTGTTTGCCATTTATAAATGATGCAAAATACAGCCACTGGGAAGCAAATCAACAAATCTGAAATACGTTAATCAAGTAGAATCCAGAGTAGAGATTATCTAGTTACTTGCTCATCCCGCCTGGCGCGTGTTGGAGTAAATACGGAAAAATGCTTACTTTCCACAACACCGGGCAAAGCCCTGTAGTGTTGGAACTGGTAGAAAGACTTCTCCAGCATGTACTCTGGGTTGATCTCCTCCACACGCAGCAGGTTAAGCACCATGTTGTAGGTCAGGTGGAAGGCACTGTTCAAAGGGTCTGCAGAGCCCTGAGCAGCAGAATAAAAACCAGACAGAAAAAAAATTCAATAATGCACAGCTGGGATTAATTATGTGATTTGACAGTCTTGTAAGCATTTTACTAGAAGTGCCAAGAAGGTATAAGGTCTAAATAAATGCAGGCTGAAGCTCCCCAAATTAAACACCGAGGAGAATTTTGCAATTGAAACCTCTGAACCTCGCAAACCACAGACATGCGTTGGACAGCTTTCTCCAAGACACCCTGGGAGTTAAGCACTGTGACAGCGCCAACAAACAGTTTTACATTAACACAACGTCGTTCAAAAGCTATGCAGCTATGTATTTATAGCAGTGCAGCTATAAATGTGTCAAATCAAAGACAAAAGACCAAGAGCTTCTGCCTTCCCTGTGACTGTGTGTTGTAAAGTTCTGACGGAGCACCAAATGGCTAGATGATCCAAAGAAAGAACAACTTAAGAGTCACTTCTGACAAATTCCATCCAATCATTCAAACTAATTCTCAGAAAGACAGCAGGGAATATGTTTCATTGATGGGACTATTACTGTAGCAGAAGAACGTGTAGACAGCACTGAAGAGACCCGCAGACATGTGATCAATGACAAGCAGTTGCATTCAGAAAAATTACCCGAACTTGAACGTAAAAAGTACCGTAGCAGTGATATTCACAGTACCTTGAGCAGCTGTTTGCCCACAGCTGGACTCATCTTCTCGTCCACCATGAAAATAACAATTCCCCTCTCGTCCATTCCTCTCCTCCCAGCTCGCCCAGACATCTGGATGTATTCACCTGATGTAATCTGGATCACATGAAAACACACAAGACATTAAGAAAAAAGATATTTGTTAGTGAATGCTTCTCTCTCTTCTCTCTATACAGGTGTTGTGGCAAAATATGGAAAATAAATAGCCTTTTATACTAAGAAAAGAGGTAAAAAGGCAGGGAAAGAAGCATTTTTATAATGTAATGCATATATATTTTGGAAAATAGACGAAGTAGTTCTACAATTAGAGCGCCTTGTGAGGAAGAGACTTAACCAGTTTTTCACAAGCCTCTGAGGACATTTCTCTGCATTGCACATGACTGATTAAAAAGATCTACTGGTCTTTAAGCAATAAAATTGCTATAAAAAAGGGAAGATAAGATTATTTTTGTGTTGAAATGACCGCATGCCATGGGATCAGCTCTTGATTTGAAATGCAGTGTGTTTCAGGAAAGTTGTGTGTATTTAAATGTGTGAGTGCCTGCGTGGAGCTTTGGCATCTTTAGACGCACCAGATGTTCCTGATGAACCTTCTTGGAGGGCAGTTTCATTCTCTCTCAAATTCTCGTCAAGTCTTTGTGTATGTGTGTGAGTGAACTGGAAATCCATGTGTATGAAGTGAAGATGAAGGGTGCTTCTAAGTGACGGCAGCTCCACACACGCGCGCACACACACACACACACACAGCCCCCAGCTCTTATAAACAATACGTGGCTGTTTATGTGGCGATGCAAGCTGCAGGACTGGAAGACCTTATAAAGGCTTCAGGGCAACACAGCGAGTGACAACTCCACACTACACATAGTCCAGAGCTGTTGTTTTAAAGACATCACAGAGTTTATGGGGAGTGGTACTATTTTACTGGCTACAGGCACAGTAATAGATCAACGGAAACGGAGATTAACCTCGCTTAGCACTCTTATTGGATGTTTTTTGGGCTAAGTAGCAGAGCTTCCATCAAAAGGTAGATATTTTCCAAAAAGGCTTAGTTTACATAAACTACACTTTTTGGGCTCATCTTCCTGCTTATGTATGCTCACAGCCACAGTGATGGAAATTGCAGCTCCACAATCTAATGTACTTGTAAGGAATTTGCATGTAATGTAGGATGAGGAGAATTTCCTGAGAGAATGTTCTATTGACATTTTTTAAAAATCTACGCGTGCTCTTACAAAGCGGTGATTCTTGCCATCAAACTTCCGTGCGCTGGTGAAGAGCACAGTGCGAGCTGGCATGTTGATGCCCATGGCGAATGTCTCTGTAGCAAACAGGGCCTGGGATGAGAATAAAAAGCAAACATTAAGATCATCTCACTGCAATATTCTGACAATGTCATTATTGACCGATTCAACTTTATAAAAGGCAATTTTCTTGTTAAATAAATAATTATTATAACAACCTTTTGAATGTGTTTCATTTCCCATAAAATATTTGGAAAGCCAATTCTAAAGTTCAAATACACATAGGCTGTGTCCAAAATCACCCACTACTCACTATATAGAGGACTATTTAGTGAGCTCACCATTTTGTAGTGCTCTCTGAATATATAGTGAGAAATAACATACCCTATATAGTCCACTCAAAGTATCCAAGAATGCATTTTGAAAAGTTGTGTATAACCGATATACCATCATGTATTGCGCTGATAAAAAAAAAAAAGTCCACCAACCAATTGCCCGACAGCAATGACTTAACTACCGGTGCTGTGATAATGATTGTAGGTTCTGAAAGTGCTGTTTTCAACTCATAAGATATGGAGTAGGGAGCAGTGAAAGAGTATTGATTTAAGACACAGTCATAACGTTTCGCTCAGTAAGTATTAGAGCCCGACCGATTTTTGAGACCGATGCCGATATTAAAGTGAAACTGCGCAGATATTAATTATATTAGACCTCTTTCCTGTCCAAACTACACTTAGAACAGGCCGATATTGAAAGCTGTTCTGTATGTAGGCTATAATACATTTTCCTAAATGGATTATATTATTAAAATAGATAACAGTCTCGACAACTTAACATGTAAACAATTGCACATCAACAAATATTTGCTGCAGGAAGGTGCAACTGTAAACGGATGGCTGAAAGAGAAAAAGCGTAGGCTAAGTGTATTTTACCTTACCCTCTACCCTAATAACTACATTCAATGTAGCATATTCACATCTAGTTTTTCTATGTACAAGCACTATTTAATAATATCCAAAGCTACGAAAAAAAACACTTCAACCATCATCTGTCTAAAACATGCTTTCTATGATACAGTGACCTGCTGTTCAAATCTAATACTACATGACTGTCTACAACTTTGATATTTCCATCCATCGTCAACCAGGCGAAAGGAGGGGTACACTCTGGACAGGTCGCCAATCATAGACTAATAACCAGTCACACTCACAGATGAATCAGCTGTGTAGATTTCGAATATTGACAGTTTTACGAAAAATGATTGCGGAACAAAAATGTGCTTGAAAGTTTTCGGAGTTGAGGAGCTCTGCAAGTGGCGGCAGGAGAAGCCTGTGCCAACCCGCGGGAGGAGCTCCCAAGGGCGGCCAGCCGCCCACTCACAGAACCCTCTGCTCCCAGCGTCACACAGACCGCTGCAGCAACAACGGCCAATATTATGTAGCTGCAGTACCGAAGGCTGCAGTTTCAGGACCGTAGTTCTTTTGCGACAGAGCTACCTAGTGGAGTGGTGGTGGTAATGCACAGCAACACGAAGGAGCGGACATGCATATAATCAATAACTTAAGTTTAGGCACATGGTTGTGGTAAGGATAACTGGCTTCGGGGGGGCTGTCAAGAGTAACATAGCTAGCTGGCAGTATCAAAGTAAACAAGGGTCCCAGAAATGCAGTTCCGGTCCTAGGAATGTGGTCCTGAAACTGCAGCCGGATGACTTCTCACCTCAAAACTATTGAGAAATGGGTTTAGTGATGAAATAACATGAAAATTGTGAAATATAAAACTTTCTGTTGCTGGCCTCTCTCCGGCGCGCGCAATGATGATGCAGTCAATAGTGACGATTCATAAAAGCACTTTTGGTGTTCGGCCTAATAAGTCAAAATAAGAAATTTCATCAATCAATAATGTTGACATGTCGGCAGTGTGGAAGCATTTTAAAGTGTCAGAGAAAGACACAAAAGTTTGCAGACACTGTTCTGCTGAATTGTCTTCTAGCATATTCACACCATCTGAGGCTGAGTTCTTAGAAAAGGCAACTAACGGTCTGACCCTCCAAAATTTGGAGTGCACACTTACTCAAGCCTTTATGGTACATTCACTGAAACGAGCTGACAGACATGGTTAGTGTCATTTTCTCTCTTTACAAAGACAAGAGTTGCAGTATGAGAGTCCTACCTGAAGAGAAGCTATGAAGTCTTTATGCTACGCGATACAAGAACCACATACATTATTTATCAAATTGCGTCGGAATTTATACATGTGACAACCCTGCATCCCTACTAATTATTAAACATTTTTATTTATGCTGCATATACACGATGTTTAAATTCAACCCTAATTGGGTGATAAAGTAGGGTGAACATTTACAAAATCAAGTAACTGCAATCACTCTGCTGAGAGGGATGGATGTTTTTTGTTTAAGCATGTTTTGATAAGCATCTTGATGCAGGGACAGGTGTACCTTGAGTAGCCCTTCAGAGAAAAGGATCTCTATGGTCTCTTTCAGGATGGGCAGTAGGCCTCCATGGTGGATTCCTATCCCCCTCTTCAACAGTGGCAGCACATGCTCCACCTGTGGTACGGCAAGAGCAATGACAGGAAGATTAGTGTTTGTAGCGTTTTGTTTATGAAAAGGTTTAGTGACAGTGCATATACACCAGTTTGTTCATCCGATTAAAGCCATCAAAGTACCAGAGACAGAGAGTGGAAAAGCATCTAACCCCTCATAGTAGAAAAGTGTGATGGATGGTTAGCTTTGCCATTGCTTGTGCAGTAGCGGTCCCAAAAACAATTACCTCAACACGGCTGGTTTTCATAATGTGGCTCAACAAAGAAGGGTAGAATAACAGGAGCACGGTGTTTGAGCCCATGTTGACATTATGTGTGCAGCTATTTACATTAAAGCAGTTTAACTGCGACTCTGAGCAGAAAATGACTCTGAAGGAAATGCTGGGGCCATTTTTCTGAGCTTTTACAAGGTGGCAGCACTGGGTTCAAAAAGTGAGGGCGACGTGGATGCTTATAAAAACATGGCCCGAGTTGTGAGGGCACAGAGCGAGAGAAACCCGTTCTCCTCACCTGAGGGAGTTTCTTGTCTTCGTCTGAAAGACAGTCCACTGCGTTGTTGAACACTTCCTCCACCAGACGTTTCTCATCATCTGGAACAAACAAACAAAGGGTGCATTTCTTAAAGTTTTCTCATGGCTGCTCAGAAAACTTTCTAAATATTAGCACAAAGCACATCCTGAGCCTGTGCGTTTTAACTATGCCTCTAACTCTCTCTCACTCACACACACACTCTTTTGAGTCATTTTAAAATGTTTTAAATATAATTTATCTTGGCGTGTGTGGTTGATGTGTAACAACGAGGAGAACTGCTTACAGGAAAAGTTTAACCACCCAGGGATTGAGCAAGCAAATGATGTTGCTGCATTTTATTTCAATCTGTTTTAACTCTAGATTTGATCTCATTTTACAGCCATGTGTTTCAACAAAACAGTTTCTCTAATTTATGTTATTTAGTAGAGTTTCTGATTGACTTTTTCAAAATATTTACAAATTGATTACTAGTTTTTTGTTTTTTTCAAAAACAACAATTAAATGCTGTCACATGTTTAACAAACACTTTATTATTGTAATCGGTTGTATATGGTTGTGACACCACAACCACCAGTGTCTTATTACTGTGCTAATCACATTAGATTGTTTGCTGCGGCTGGTTGGCTATCTCTGCCCATATGGAAACTTAGTCACAGGTCTTTCTTTATTCATGAAACCATTCTGGGAAACCGTCCTTCTTATGTGCCTGTGTTATTCAGAAACTTCCACGAAGTCTGATGGTGCAGTATTTATTTTTAATGACAAATTACTTCAATGGGACTTCTTTTCATGTTTTAAGCAGCAATACCAAAGACAAACACAAACAAGGGCCAACATAAAAAGCGAGGTCAGCCTAAGCTACATCCATGGCTCCAGCAAAACAGCCAGGACATCCACTTTGTGGCACATAACACACAGAGCAGGGTTATAATAAACATTTAAAGAGCAAGGAGTCTAATAACACTTCACTTGTGCCATTGATTACACCCTACTGCATGAAAACACACTAAGACAGACTTCCTGCAGTGAGCCGGAAGTCTTGCGTTTCTCCTTAGGGTGAGATAAAAAGGACAACTCAGTATCTGAGAAGCATGATTGTACTCGCCCCTTTGGCTTTTGACATTTCTTCCATACAACTGGAATAATTGTCCGAATGAAGGTTAAAGGGTCATGAAAAACAAAAAGTTCTTTCTTCTGGTCAGTAGTTTTCAGGATACCTTGTCAGGCATTTTTATGGGCACTCCATTGATTTCACACATGAAGCTCAGTTTAGTAGTCACGAGGGTTACTACTCAGCCTGTGAAAATATTGTCTATAGATGTAGAGAAATTGCACACTTTTGTAGTCCAAGCTTGGGCAGAAACTGCTTTGCAAACTGACGATGTCAGATTTGAAAGACACATGTCAGCGAGGGTGCTAACGAAACACTCTCTCGAGTTACTTTATTTGAAATGTGTTTCTGGAGTTTAACCCATACTAGGGAATAAAAGTTAAACTCGTTTCATTTATAAGAGGCATTTTGATGTACAAGCTTTCCTGCATCATGTGTGCCATAGTGGGATTGAGTAAAACATACTGATTCCGGATGTCGACCTTGCCTTTGAGCATTTAAAACGTTTTTTTTTAAATATATATTTGTGATAAACATGCCCCTTTGAAGAAATTCAGGATTGGAGGAAGAGATAATCCATGGCTCTCTGAAAAGTTGTCAGAGTTAGTCAGACTGAGAAATGTTGCCTGGGCCAAAGCAAGACAGTCAGACATACCTGCGGACTGGATTTCAATTAGAACTTTGGAAAATAAATGTACTGAAATGATCTGGAAATCAAAATCAGAATACTATCTGAAGAACATCACAGAGAACTTTAATATGATAATCCTTCCAAATTCTGGAAATTCATAAAATCTACATCAAGCTCAAATGCTTGAAAGTCCGGACTCCCTGACCATTTAATCATTGACTCTGCGGAAGTAAAATCTAAAGCTGATATGTTTGAAATATTTAATAAGAACTTTGTATCAGCTGGAGTATTCTTTGACAACACAGGGGGGCCGCATATAAACCATATGAACCCTGGTAACAATGCAAACTCTCTCTCTCCTGAGTCAGATGTGCAAATTAACTCCTTCAACTCCACACACATATCCACTGGTGATGTTTGTAAGGCGCTTAAAGATATGGATCCAAAAAAGTCAGTTGGACCTGACAATCTAGATCTATACCTTTTAAAGCTGGCTGCCAAGCTTATTACAGAGCACATTACTTATATTTTTAACCTGTCCCTGGCAACCAGTTGTATTCCTAAATTATGGAAGGCTGCTTATGTTACACCATTATTAAAAAGTGGGGACCCTACTAATGTAGATAACTACCAACCCATCTCCAAATTATCTATTTTAGCCAAAATCCTTGAATCTCTGGTAAATGTCCAGTTAAAAAGTTTTAATTGAAGATAACATTTTAAGTGAGTTTCAGTCTGGTTTTAGGACAGGACATAGTACCATAACAGCAGCTATGTTGGTGGTCAACGATAGTAATTCTCTTGATGAAAAACAGCATTGTGCTGCATTATTTGTTGAATCATTTGACTCTGTCGATCATGACTTACTGTTATCCAGACTAATTAATGTGGGTTTTAGTAAGGAGGTTGTGAATTAGTTTAGAAACTATCTCATAGATAGATCTCAGTGTCTATATTGAAAATTACATGTCTAAATCCCTAGAGATGTCCCCCAGAACTTGATCTTGGCTCCCGTTTTATTCACCATTTTCGTAATGATATTGAAAAACATCGAATCAAGTTGCACCTTTATGCAGATGACACAGTTATATATACACATGTGCTCCCACCCTGGCTCAGGCTGTCACAGAGCTTCAGGCTGTGTCCTCTGCATTGCAGTTGTCATGCACAACCTCAAATTAAAACAAGTGTCTCAGTATTTGGCTGGACGATAAATTAACATTCCTGTAAAATTAATGCAAAACGCCTATTCAAGGCATATCCAAAGTAAATTGAATGTAGTTGTTTAACCATTTGGAGTATATGCATGGTTTTGGGCTTCTCTGAAAGATAAAACTCTGGAGTGTCTAACCCAAAAGTCAGAATGATTCTAATTGCTACTGGAATTGATTAATATAAGTTTAAACACACTAAAACTAACAGTACTAGCATAAAGCCTTACCTAGTCCAAATTTAAATTTCATACCAACACCATGAAGAATGACCATTTTACACAGGTTTTTCTAAGTGCACGTTTTAGCGTATTTTTTCTAAAACAGCACAGACCCTTGGCGGCAGGCGGCTGCTGCTGCTGCATTGCTCCGTATTAGCCGGTAGCTTGACGCAGGTGTGGTTTTCTTGCTGGTCGATCATGAACTTCCTACTTAAAGATGGATATCATTATTTTCAGAATTTTATTGGCCACAAAAAGTGCCAGTCATCGGCACAATTGCTTGCAATTGGCTCGGCCTACCCAGGAAATAACAGGGGCTGGCCCTTCCTTACAGCGGGGGCTCACAGGATTTTAGCTTTCAAACGGTGTATCATATGAATATGAAGTTAACATAGTAGCTGTGTGCACATACCGAAAGGTGTCGCCAGTGTTATCGCCGGGGACCTGCTATATATGCATGCAGCCTCATCATTGTTAAAGAAACTTGATTTTGCATACCATGCAGTGTTACGTTTTATTACACTTGCTAAACTGCACACACATCACTGCAGATTATATGATTTGGTGGATTGGCCATCATTAGCTATGTGGAGACAGCTACATTTGTTATCTTTATTTAAAAGGCACTCATTTGCATATTACCACATTACATTAATAGCCTCAGCTTTGTGGTCAGTAGTCATCATACCAAAATATATTTTTGATTAATGGTGGACAAAAGATCTGTCAAACAAATCCTTAGTAATCATCCTCAGTGGATCATGAGCATCTAAACTAAACTCACATGAACACACTTCAGCAGGCTCTGCCCTTAGTGGAAAAAAATGCTGCTGGTCAGCATCACAACAACATAGTCTGGGTCTATGTCCATCTATTGGTCTTTGCATGAGCCAACCAAACCTTCTATAATATGTCTATTTGACGCTGCAGTTTTGCACTTGGACAGTTAGTTGATGTTTCAGCACCAGCCGGTCCCCTGACTCCAACACAGCTCTGCCAATCCACAAACACTGCCCAGAAACTCTGTGTCACAGCACACATCAGGAGGGGAAAGAGAGGGGGACTGTCTTTGGTGTTTAAGAAAACAGAAGAAAGAAAAAAAAAAAAAGCATGAGCTAGGAAAGGTAGAAAAAAAGAAAAGGGGGGGTAGCTGGTTCAGAATGAGAGAAACCAGGAGGGCCACGTGGCTCCCTCTGCTCATTATAACCCACCTACACACACACAAACAGAGGAACTCTATAACACCAACAACCTGCCTACATACATACTGGGATAAACCAAACAACCTGGCTTCTCAAATTGTTTGCTAGAGAAAATTGGTCCCTATGAGTTTCTAAATAACAGACAAAGAAGGAAACAACTTTCGCGTTTGAAACCCTTGCATCTGCAAATGGTTAGGTTTGTAACAAGTAATGACACAAGTAATTACTTGTTACTTGTAAACACAAGTAATGACAGTTTTTTATGGCTACAATTCTGTAGCCATTGTCATGAAAGCTTTGTATTTCTTTAAACTAATAAACAAGTCAATGGAATATTTTGACTCATTTACTAATCAGATTAATTTATTTCAACATTCTTCCTCAATCAAGTGACTGTTACTGGACACCATCTGCCTCATTTTTCTAAGAAAGTCGCTCTGTTTAAGAAAATTCTGAAAAATCATGAAACTGTTGGAAATGAGAAATTATCTTTGGCAGAGTTTTTCCATTTGTTTGGTTTTGCAATATTGATGGAAAAATTGGCTTTGTTGACGGCCTTCAGTGTTGGAAGAGCTCAGCATAAAAAACCCCCTCCTCAAGTAAGGCTTCATAAGCATGTTTTATTTCAAGAAAAAGCCTGAAGCAGGTGGATACGAGCCAACCTCCATCTACAGCTGGATAATCTCCCATCCTGCAGAGATTTGTCTTCATGAAGCAACTTCACTTATCCACTGGACCAAACTGCAAGACCAGCTGTGCAGGGACAATAAGCCATATTCATGGCACTCACTCAGTGGGGAGGATTTATTCAGCTCAGCTTGCCAACAATTTAGCATTTTGGTGAACGGTTTCACTTGCCTAATTTCAACTCCCTCCCTACTTTATATTCGTTTTGGCATTTCAGTGTGCAAAGACAATCTGCTCTGAATCTAACCACTAACATGCTCATTATTCAATATGCTGATAGTGTGACTTTGGATCTGATAACTGACCAATGCAGTGAAAATACAGCAAACAATAAAAGTTTAATTTATCTAAAAAGAAGGTATATTATGACATCTGATCACTTAATACTTAACGAATAAACAAAAACGATTTTTATATTGTTGCCAGAATGGAAATTATTAGGGTTACAACTACTGATTATTTTGATTACCGGTTAATCTGCTGATTTTTTTTACTCATTAATCAATTAACAATGTTGTCGATAAAATGTCACAGATTAGTGGAAAATGCTGATTATAATTTCCCACAGTCCAAGGTGACATCTTCAAATGTCTTGTTTATTTTACCAACAGTCGAAAACCCAAAGATACTGAGTTACGTAGCCTGTCAGCACGACAGGGTGTGAATGGAGAGGGAGTAGTTCGCACGTAGTTCGTACCCTGAATTTCCTCAGGGAAATGAAAATAAGCACCATAGGTTTATGAATGCGGATCAAACGCCGGGCGCACACACACTGCAGCACGTGCCTTATTGTGAGCATGTGCAAAAGTGTCCTTATAATCAAGTAATAAGGGGGGGAAATATACGCAGTTAACTGGAATTCATTCATTCAACGGGAGTCCTGCACAGTACCTACTGAGCTAAACATGCACATGAGTATACAAGGATTTGAAATAATTTCACTTTGTTCTGGTCCGCCTTAAAATGGCTTTTAAAAAAATTAGGCTAATGCCAGACTTATTTGCCGACCCCTAATCTACTGGTTCAAGGGCCTGACGTAAACCTTTTACTATGCACGCATGTCACAAAAGCACCAGGATTGTATATAACTACTCAAACTGAAAACGTGCTTGCAGAAGAAATACAATGAGACATACCTGTGTTAAAGTCCAGTTTGGCTACCTGCAAAGCATAGGCCTCACAATCCTTCTTGCTGAAGCTGAAAATAATGACAGGCTGGAAGTTTCTCTCCATGATCATCTTCACTATCTTGAACACACTGGACGGACCTGAGGAAATCATTTATTGGAGTACACATGAACATGAATTCTGATCTATATATTAGAAGACATTTACATGTTTAAGATGTCATTGTTGCCCTTATTTGACAGTAGAGGATGAACTGATTGATTCAACCATGGACGTAGGGCTGGATGATATGGCCAAAATTGTTATCACATTAAAATTTTTCATATCTTTCGAGATTGATCATTATCATATGTATCAATAGTTCGAGTTTAAAGGCTGTTTCTTGCTCCTGAGCGAAAGTTGAAGAAACCTGATTTAATAATAATAATTGTGGATTAAACTCATCTTTATGGTCAACACTTGATGCCAAACAGCAGATCACTTCACAAATCTGAGGTAGAACATTCAAAGCAATTATGATCAAATCTTTGTCAACAAATATGTACAAGTCAAATTAAATAAAAGCTTTTTCTCAGTCCCTCAACAAAATAAACATCTTAATAAAAAAACTTTGTGTATGATTCAAGTGAATAAAATCTAACATTTATTGAATATTTACTGAACTTTTTATTATCTTGTTATTGACAGAAATTATATTGCGATAATTATTGTTTTATTGTCTATCCCTACGTGGATGCAAATGGTTATGTGGTATGCCCCTTAACCATTAGGCTTACAGGGAGCCCCGACCCATTTTAACCTTGAAAACTGACACACACCTTTAGTGCCTCCTTTCCGTCCTCTTGGGTCCCACTTGCCCCCTCCGCTGCCCCCAGAATCCCCTGCGTCTCTCAACACCTGCATAGCTGTGTTGAAATTGTCCTCTCTGAAGTCTCCCTGATGAAGGGTAAAACACAGGCAGATGTTATGATTCATGTCTATCATGTAAAGGCCGGTGCCAATGGATGTATCCAAAATCAGGAGACAGAGAAACTAATCTAGGGCCAATATGAGACCAGACACATCTAGTCTGTCTCTAGTCTGACTTCCATAGGATTAATTAGCCAACTCTCTTTGATTACTCTGACAGATCCCAGTAAATACAGTTTGTAGGTGTCCTTACATTCTCATCAACAACCAAGTGGAGTCCATCGCCCCCTGCTGGGAAGATGTAGTGTTGCAGTGGAGTTGGGCGGTAATCTGTGTAGACTACATGGCATGGCTACAAGAGACATAGAAACATTAATTATGTAACAAAAATAACAAAAACACAGACATGTTATGCTGATACTTAGAGAGATAACTGCCACCTTCTTATGTTACATACACGAGGAACCTTTATATTTCTAATGCCAGAACAACACGCCACCTGCTTATGTAGGTGGCAAATCCACTCAGCAAACTGCCTGGCATTGGGGATGGTGGCTGACAGGAAGACGTAATGCACATTGTCAGGAAGAAGAATGATGGTCTCCTCCCACACCACACCACGCTCTGAAATACACAGACAGCAGAGGAATTTGTTGTAAGAACATTCAATTCAATTTTATTTATATAGCGGCAAATCACAACAACAGTTATCTCACAGCGCTTTTCATAAAAGAGCAGGTCTAGATCATACTCTATGATGTTATTTACAGAAGCCCAACAATGGAACATGTTCGTAGTCTTACCCTAAAGCTCTCTTTTTTTCCATTAGAGGTTTGTAGCTTTTACTATTTCTCCAAGTTGGACAGGTTTCATTCACAAAAAAGTTACTAAAGAATTATTCCTCACTATTCCTATAATCAGCAGACAAAAAGATTACAAGTTTAGCAGCGTCAGAAATGTATTAGAGGAGCCGAAACAATTGGGAAAAAAGTTCAAAAACATCTTTCGAAAGCAAACCGGCACATGAGTAATATAAGAGGCGCTTAACTGGATGTAAAAGTCAAAGAGTTATTAGAGAGAATATTATAGCCTACAGCGGGTGATTTAACACTGTTGGATGCAACAGAGCATGATATTAGACAGCGACCTACAGAAAGACCCTGAGGACCCCAGCTTTCGAGTGAAAGAATTCTCCTAACTACTGAACTGTAGAAGTTGCTGTGCTGAAATATGCCAATATAAATGATAAAATCTAGAACAAAACTCTAGTAAACTGTCAAGCGATGTTGATAATATTTAGAATATAATGTCAATCTTGCTTCACATTTGTCTTAGTTATACATTTTATTTTAAATACTTTTGGCATCATATTTAAACTCCAAATTCATTCAGATTAAAGCATTATGAATTCTAGTCAAATTAGAGTTTTTTTGCCCTGTGGAGAAAAGAACACTATCTATCTATATAACAGGCCTGGATCACTTCTGAATTTCCTTTGTCCACAATAGAAAAAAGTAACTTAAATCACTTGTACATGCCAGCTAAGAATGAATCTGTTTATACGAGTGGTTCTTGAATGAAGCCCAATGCTCCAAACCACACTCAGCTGTATTCTGTACACACCTGCATCTCTCATGTAATGGATCTCATCAAAGACGACCCACGCCACTTCTCTCATGATCTCAGAGCCTCGGTACAGCATGCTTCTCAGGATCTAGGAGAAAAGCAGTTTACCATGGCAGACCAACCTCTCTACTCCCAATCAAAATGAACCTGCAGCACACTTTCCAGACATAACTGCTTCTTACCTCTGTGGTCATGACAAGGCAGGAGGCAGTGGGGTTGATGGTGACATCGCCAGTCATCAGTCCCACATCCTGGAACTCCTCGTACATCTCTCTGTACTTCTGGTTGGAGAGGGCCTTGATGGGGCTGGTGAAGATCACTCTCTGCTTCTCTCTGAGGGCCAGTGCAATGGCATATCTACAAGAGGAGGATATAACAGTGAACTAGGTTAGATCACTAATCTGACATTAACCACTGCTTCACCTAAACGATAATTATGATTGCTGTTGGGCCTTTGCTTCCAAGAAAACTGCAAAACTGCACTCAATTACGCTAGGGTTGGATATTTAAAGTTTTACGATACCAGTACCAAAACCAGTACCCTTAAAGTGATACCAATAGAGTACTTCATTCGATACCTTGCATAAAATGCCACCTGTTGAAGCAATAGTAGTTGATTGGTAGCCTATTATTATTTTTATTGTTGTTATGGACAAGCAAGGTTATCTATTCTTGTTTCATATAACTGTAACATAAGCATTGGGAAATTGTATCACATCCCCGCCATCCTAATTTGATCATCCTCATGGGTAGTATTATATGGGGAAAGAATACAGCTTACAAATTTTTTTATATTTTAATTAAATAAATTAATATTTAAAACCAAGCTTGTGGTGATAAACTGGAACCGAAGGTAAGCGGCTGTTAAAATCACGCATGGACTCGACGCATGCAGGCCTTTTTTGCTCTCCTCTTTATTTCAGTGTGTTGCTTGCGTGTTTGGCTGCAAACAAAACCATACAAATGGTGATTTTTTGCCTCAGTCTGGTTACAAAAAGTATCGAATGAAGTACTGGTTTGACTGGAGACGTTTCGATTGTACTCGATACTGGGCTGTTTCGGTCGATACCATAAAGGTGTAGCAAGTAGCGATACCCATCCCTAGTTGCAGCAGCTATGTGGTACGTTCCTAAGTTAGGACATAAAGTCGACACAAGAGGCTTAGTAACTACTAGTTTGTAACTAAATCAGCTTCTAAAATTGTTTGCACCACGACTACTTGGGGCAGAACCGAACTAGTTTGGACGTAAAGTCATAACCAAGGCAATTGGCCAATCAACAATCAAAGAGAAGACTTCTATCGTCCTGATTAATTATCACAATCAGCAAAAAATAGTATCCTAGTGGTGTCATGTTTGTTGAAGATACTCACTCAGCACAGACAGTCTTGCCTGCAGAGGTGTGTGCAGACACAAGCACAGACTCATTGTTATCAATACATAAGATGGCCTCACGCTGAAATGGATCAAGAACAAAAGGGTACTCCTGCAAGAAAAGACATGTCAATAAAAAACAATCCAGATGTAATGCTAGTTTTTGTAAACCAACTAGTACACAATACAATTTAAATTAACTCCCCATTAGGCAATACAGTTAGAAACCATGTGCTGCTGTTATAAAGAAACTTTTTCTAAAGTTTGAAAAGCTAGCTAACTTATTTAGCCTCCATACAGACATATCATTAAACAAATGAATAAATAAATGCTTTAAAAATCTATTTCACTGTAATTCAATGACATTCTACACTGAACAAATTAAATGTATTCCACAAGTAGAAGACCTGATTTAAAGGTGCATTGTACCTTGGCTGCTTTCCCCACTCGTGCTCTCAGTGGTTTATAGTCATCACTGGCAGGCAGCGCAACCTGTGAGGGGAAGACAGAATCTTTAACAATCTAAGTTTTGACATTAAAAGTCAGAGAAATCACAAAGGTGACTTATCAAAGAAGAAACCTGATAATAATCAAAACACAAAATGAGGGAATATCTTTTGGAAGAAAGATGTTCATCTTTACCTCATGCGAGCATCCTTCCACGGTGTCAACTTGCTCCACCTTCACTTGGGGCATAAACTCTGCAAGACTGAAGAAAACCACACAGATTTTACCTACATAGACACTTTAAAACATATGCTGCAGCATCAGCTTCATTGGTTTGACATAGACTTGAATCACCAACTCTCTGAAACAGTTTCAACAAACACTGAACATTATAACCATCATGAGGGTAATATTAATTGCTGGGCTGCTGATTGAACTGCATTAGTTCCAGTGGTGGAGGAAGTACTCCTTTAGTAGGTCTTTTACATGACCTAGATACAGCAATATCACTATGTAAAAATAGTGTTATAAATAAAGTCATGCATTTAAAACTTGACTTAAGTAAATATTCATAAGTTAGATGTGCAAAATATACTTGAGCTTTGTTTTTGAGAGTGGTGTAGTATTGGATTATGATATTTAAAATAAATACATTGATGTGTAAGAAACATTTTCAAGTAACTGGTCAAGCTGGAGCTAATTTTAGTAGTAAAATGTTTAAGCGACTAAAGTTCTCACATGCAGGGTGAGTAAAACCTACAGTAGTTTCATCTGAAATGTACAAAGTTGCATATAATGGAAATTACAAATTTGTACTTAAGTACAGTACTTAGCGTAGCTTTGTGTCTATGTGTACTTAATAGAATGGCAATTGAGAGTACATGAATAGCCACATATTATAACAGCACGCGAAGCACACTGCACAGGCACAAAAGATGTAACTCATCTCACTTTAGGTCATTAGAAGAGACTGTCTCATGTCGAGCTTTCTTCCCAAACACCACCTCCTCTCCGCCGTCACTGTCTGCCTCCCTCTTGACCCCGGCAGACGGACCAGCATCCTTGTCAGTGCCATTTTTTCCTTCAACTTTTCTGGAATACGGGAAAAACACACAAGCGAAGAACTGTGGTTAGCTGAACGGATATACTTTACACAGGAACGTTAACGTTACACCAACAGATAAAGTTTCGCTGCCTAACGTTAACGTTAGACTCTAATTTTAGCTTCCCTGTTTCGAAAACGTTACAAGTTATATACAATATAGCAAAAACACAGCCCCGAAACGATTTGAGTTTATGTTTATCAGCACAACCAGGCACTTTAACTGATGTTTCATTTAACTTTACTAGCTAACGTTAGCAGATTGACGTTAGGACTGTTTCACTGTCTGGCACGCGCTGACATGATGCTACGTTAAGGTTCGCTGGCCAATCGAACCTCCTGGTTTCAAACACCAGTCATTAAAAATTAAAAATTAAAAATCCAGTTATTTACCCTATGTCCGATGCCAACGAAGCTGGTATCTTTTTGCTTGTGGTCGTTTGTTGTTCCTCGTCAAACACGCTGAACAAACCGTCTCCAAAGGCGTCTGCCATGATTGTTAGGGGCACACTTCCCACAATACAACACGAGGTTGCTCCTGGGTAATACTTCCGGTACGGCAGCTGTGTTGTCCAAATGTTAGCCAACTCGACGTGAATACGGAGAGAAATTCACATTATCATTATATTTCGCTCTCTGTTCGTAACCACCATATTTTAAGGACTTTGCTGATGACGTGGCAGCACATAGCTACGTAGACGAGCCGCGGACAGGCGGCGTTTTGGTGACATAATGGGTGGAAAGAAGAAGAAATCGGCGGCGCAAGCGGTTACTCCGGTAGCCCCGGCAGGAGCAGCGGGCAGGACTGGTGCCGCTGCAGTGGGGAACGGCGTGGCGGAGGAGGCGAAGAAGCAGCCAGCCAGCAACAAGCTGACTAAACCAGCCAAAGAGAACAAGTCAAAAGGTGGTTTTACCTGTCTGGTGTCATAGATTCAGAAACATCACGATACCATTTAAACAATCAGGCGCCTACAGTGTGACATTTACTGTTGAACATTTGTTATTGTAATTTTCCAGGCTGTGATTGGAGGTGGTATATTGGATGGTTTTATATTGTATAGGTGTTCATAGCGTTGTGTTCAACCCTGTATGCCGTGATTCTAGCAGTGGTTTAAATTTACACCTTCAGAAATGCCCCCCTCTTTCTTCATTTCATATCATGATACCTTGCTGTTGTGTTGCAGATGGATAAACAAACCTAGGGGTTTTGAAACTTGTGATGGACCTGTACATTGGGCATTTGTCAGACTAAGTAGTTAATCTCATTATCAACATGATTCATATTTATTTAATTCTAATGAAAACAGTAGGTGCAGCCTAATCTGCATGGCAGAGTGTGTCAACACATCTCTGATTGAAAACCTGAAACTAAAGCTTTCTAAAAAATAATGAGTCTTAGATAAGCATTAAATCTGGCTCAGCATTAACATGCATTGCTTTCAATTGACAAAATTCTGTTTTTTGTTTTGAAATTCCAGCTCCAAAGACCTACAGTCTTGCCAACACCGCCCAGGTTGACACAGGTGGAGGCTCGGACAAGTCGATTCTTAAAGTAAGTCATTAGTTCACTTTATCTTCACTGTGCAGCTTCACATAATCTACTTGGCATAGAGAGAGAGACTCTATGCCAAGTAAATGTTGCACCTGTAACCTGTTGTTGACCAGCCTGTAACATATCACTATACTATATATGCTGGAAAACCTTCAAAACGTTGATAATAAATGGGATTTGACCGTTTAACACAGGTTGCTATCCAAGCTGACCTAGAAAAGAAGATCATCAAGCTGATCAATGACTTCAGAGAGGAGAATGGGGACAAAGGGCCCATATCAGGCAGACTTACGAACAAGAAGTTGCTGGTAAAGATGAAATCATCCCTCTGACTGAGATCTGTTTCCATGACCAAATGTTGCATTTAGGTTACTGTTGTCTTGTGGGTGTTTCCAGGACCTGTACACGGCTCTGGAGAAGTTCAGCTTTAAGAGAGAACACATTGAGGAGGCGATGAAGAGTAGTGTGCTGTACGGAGGAGATCTCCACTCTGCTCTCGACTGGCTCTGCCTCAACCTTAAAGATGGTAACACAGCATCAACGGTCATTTATGTAGATGTTATCACTGTGTGGCTCTTGAGAACACAAGGCCGTACAAACTGTGACTTTCTTGATTTATTGTCTTGTGTATCAGATGAGTTGCCGGAAGGTTTTACCCAGCAGATGCAGGAGGAGAGTCAGAAGAGCAGGCCCAAGTTCCAGCCTCCTGCTCAGCAGAAATCTGCAGCCCCAAGCCCCAAAGCACCCAACAACACCCGGAGGGAGACCATGAAGGTTTGTGTGTCTGTTTACAAGTGTGTGTTGGCTCGACAGATGTGCACACTGTCACACTAAACTAAACCTGTGTGGTGTTTGCCAGGCCACAGAGAAGGATGAAGCTGCGAGCATGAAGGATTGGATCTTAAGGTACGCAGAGCAGAGCAGTGACGAGGAGGAAGAGGAGGAGGAAGGAGGGAAGAAGACTGCACGCAATCCTGAACTGGACATAAAGTTCGATCCAGTAAGTAAAGTTAAAGAAGATTGAAGCTTAGATCTCTAATTCATTTTTTTAAAGGAATACTTTGATATTTCGGGAGATACGCTTATTAATTTTCTTACAGAACTTTAGGTGATATTGAGTTTTTTGTACAGATTAAACATTTAGATTTTGTTACCTAGACACAACCAGGCTAGCTGTTCAGTCTTTATGCTAAGGTGAGCTAACAGGCTGCTGGCTGTAGTTTGATGTTTGACGGACAAATATCACAGTGGTATCAATCCTCTCACAAAACTCAGCAAGAACTATTGCTCTCTTCTGTAGCTTGAGAGCTACCACATTTCAGCTCCAAAAGTGTTTTGTTTTTTTCAGCTTTTGTGTAAAGCTAGGAAGTTGTGACAGTGTAGTAAATGTCATTTAGTATGTGGCATGGTGTAGTAACTGTATGTTTCATGCTGTGTAGAATGACAGGTATTTGGTCCTTACTGCTCAACTTTATGACACAAAAGAAATGGCAGCTGCTACCAAGACAAAAGGAGACAAGGCAGGCCAGAGGATGGCACAGGACAGGATACGCATCATACAGCAAGGTGAGTGTGCTTTAACTCTTACATGCAGTGATTAAACAATTCCTTCTAACACACTTTTGACTAGAACAAATGTATTTTTCTGTTTCTAGAAATGAAGCAGCTGGAGTCCCACCCCATGTTTAATCCAGCTATAAAAGTAGTAGACGTGCCTCAAAAGGAAAAGAAAATAGTTGTCCTTGAAGACAAAGAGGACCTCAGCTTCAGTTTATTTGAAAAAGCTGAAAAAGCCCCTCCTGCGGAGAAAGGTTTGTCTCACAAATGACTTTAACAAAACACTTAAATGTAAATATAAATAATAAATCTAAAACAAAACATTCTTTAGCTTAAAGTTGTAGATTCACTTTTTGCTGATCATTTTGTTCCATTTTCCTTTGCAGTTGTGAAAAAGAATGAGCCAAAGGACATTCGCAATTTTGACTACACAGCTCGCAGCTGGACAGGAAAGTCCCCCAAACAATTCCTCATCGACTGGGTCCGAAAGAACCTGCCCAAGAGTCCAGCGCCGACTTTTCACAAGGTTGCTGCTGGTAGATACTGGAGATGCAAGTGAGTGTGTATGTGTTTGTGTCCTTGTTTTCATACACAAAGACATACATTTTGTTGGATGTAGCTCCGGTGAAGTCCACTAGTAAAGGGAAAAATGCTGAAAATCCACTTGAGTTGACTGGTCACACTAAAAAAATGTTAGTCATGTGTGCTACATAGAAGACTGAAATAACCTGCAATATTAGTTTTAGCTCATTGTGAGATTATTTAACGCTGTTGTTTAGAGAGAAATATTTGGTTTTCATTTTATGTCTTCTATGCATCTATCAGGGTGCGTGTTCAGAGGGCTGAGGATGCTCTTGAAGTTTGTCCAACAATCCTGACTGAGGACAGCATGCAGGCTCAACATCTAGCAGCCACACTGGCACTCTACAATCTGGTTAAAGGACAGGTAATACATGTAACCAGCAGAGGGCATTTTTTCAGTTTTATTCTTAATCATTTTATTGTAATTCTCCTCTAACAACTAATCCACTCCCATCCCTCTAAATGTTTGCGCTCAGTCAGTGCACCAGCTTCTTCCTCCAACCTACAGAAATGTGTGGCTGGAGTGGAGAGACAGCGAGCTGCAGCAACAGGAAGAGAGCCGCACTGCTGCCAACAAACCTCGAGACCAGTTCATCTCCCGGCTTCTGACCAGACTCAAACAGCAGCAGAACCAGAACCAAGCACAGGAATATGGATCCCAAGACAAGCTGGGCTGGGCAGGGCTGGGGATGAAGAGCCTGAAGAGTCCTGGGAGAACCTGGCTGGCCTTGACATTGAGGAGGGAAGAGAAGAGGTGGATGACAAGAGTGAGAAAAGAGGAGGGATGAAGGAAGGGGCTGGAGCACTTGATGAGTCCAGAGAGCTCTTAAAAAAGATGAAGAAGTCCCCACTGGCCCACAGATTGCAGGTAAATCTGCTTAAGCATTGTACAATTTAACTTATTAAAGACATTTTAATCTTAAAGATGCATAAATTGAGCCCAAGTCATTTAACATTTATTTTCCTTTCAAGGCAGAGCGAGAGCAGCTTCCTGTCTTTCAACACCGGCATCGGGTCCTGGAGGCTCTGCAGCGCCACCCGGTGGTGGTGGTGGCCGGTGAGACAGGCAGCGGGAAGAGTACCCAGATTCCTCAGTTCCTCTTGGAGGAGCTTTTAACAGGAGGCAAAGCAGCAAAGCCCTGCAACATTGTGGTGACCCAGCCCCGCAGGATCTCTGCTATGAGCCTGGCCTGCAGGGTAAGCCAGGAGCTTGGCTGCGAGGATGGGCCGGGATCAAAGGTGAAAATTAATTTTTTACAGAGACATTTTAAGGCTCAATGGGCCAAAATGTATGCTCAAAGGATGCACTGTCAACCTTGTTAATAATCGCTTTTTATGTCTTTTCAGTCGTCATTGTGTGGATACCAGATCAGGATGGAGAATCAGTCTGGGGAGTGGACCCGCCTACTGTACTGTACTACTGGAGTTCTGCTCAGGAAACTACAGCATGACAGACACCTCAGCTCCCTGACACACATCATCGTAGACGAGGTACTGAAAGCTCCAGATCACAGTATTTGCAGATTGTAAATGTCTTAGCACACATAATGTCCTTTCCACACTCAGGTTAATACATGTACATGTTAGAGCCATGTTTTTGTCTAGTTTTAAAAATCAGAACACGTTTTGTGTTTTTGGTTTTGACGTAATCAGACCGCAGCAAGAGCTCAATCTTCGAATCGTGTATGTCCTAAGTGTATTGAAAGGATGCAGATGAGAAAACGTTTTTCAACTGCTGATTGGAGTTTAATTTTGTCAGAACTTGATTTTTGATGCAGGTGTTAGTTTTCTAGTAAACACACACCATTAGCCTAACAATCCACAGACCTTTAATCAACCCCATCAGCCAAGTAAGTAAA